CAGGGCACTGGCAAAAAGGTAATTTGGGTTTAAATAACCCTCTTTAGGGTGTCTCTGACCTCTGACCCCAAAACGTACGTGCATGTCTATGACGTCACATCACACGCACGTTGGCGCCATCTTTAATGTGGGCTATAGTAAGTTTATTATAAAACCCTGAACCGCAGCGGCCGGCATTCCTAAGAACATCGCACCCGCTGGGGACCGGAACAGAGGGAGACCGGGCAGCTGCCCGCTGCTACCAAGGTAAACATGAAACCTTTCTGTTGGCGTGCCTGCCTAGTTTATGTGCAGCCATGCGGACAGAAGAGCCGAGAGCCGTGACATAAAGTAGCATTGCACTCCGATTTTATTACATTACACGTCACTGTCTTATTGTAGAAGAGCTAAATAGTAACAACTCAAAACCAGTAACAACTTGCTTATTTCTTTGGAAGTATCCCTCTCCCTTAAGAGTTTGCTACCGAGCTTTTTCCAGCTCTCTCTTTAACCCACTCACTCTGAGCAGTATGCTCTCTCCAGCTCTCCTATAACACACTGTGAGCCGTATGCTCTCTCCGGCTCTCCTATAACACACACTGTGAGCTGTATGCTCTCTCCGGCTCTCCTATAACACACTGTGAGCCGTATGCTCTCTCCGGCTCTCCTATAACACACTGTGAGCTGTATGCTCTCTCCGGCTCTCCTATAACACACACTGTGAGCCGTATGCTCTCTCCGGCTCTCCTATAACACACACTGTGAGCAGTATGCTCTCTCCGGCTCTCCTATAACACACACTGTGAGCAGTATGCTCTCTCCAGCTCTCCTATAACACACTGTGAGCAGTATGCTCTCTCCGGCTCTCCTATAACACACTGTGAGCAGTATGCTCTCTCCGGCTCTCCTATAACACACACTGTGAGCCGTATGCTCTCTTCCAGCTCTCCTATAACACACTGTGAGCAGTATGCTCTCTCCGGCTCTCCTATAACACACTGTGAGCAGTATGCTCTCTCCGGCTCTCCTATAACACACTGTATGCTCTCTCCGGCTCTCCTATCACCGTGCTCTCCTATAACACACTGTGAGCAGTATGCTCTCTCCGGCTCTCCTATAACACACACTGTGAGCAGTATGCTCTCTCCGGCTCTCCTATAATACACTGTGAGCCGTATGCTCTCTCCAGCTCTCCTATAACACACTGTGAGCAGTATGCTCTCTCCAGCTCTCCTATAACACACTGTGAGCAGTATGCTCTCTCCAGCTCTCCTATAACACACTGTGAGCAGTATGCTCTCTCCGGCTCTCCTATAACACACTGTGAGCAGTATGCTCTCTCTGGCTCTCCTATAACACACCCTGTGAGCAGTATGCTCTCTCCGGCTCTCCTATAACACACACTCTGAGCAGTATGCTCTCTCCAGCTCTCCTATAACACACACTGTGAGCAGTATGCTCTCTCCAGCTCTCCTATAACACACACTGTGAGCAGTATGCTCTCTCCGGCTCTCCTATAACACACACTGTGAGCAGTATGCTCTCTCTAGCTCTCCTATAACACACTGTGAGCAGTATGCTCTCTCCGGCTCTCCTATAACACACACTGTGAGCCGTATGCTCTCTCCGGCTCTCCTATAACACACACTGTGAGCCGTATGCTCTCTCCGGCTCTCCTATAACACACACTGTGAGCCGTATGCTCTCTCCGGCTCTCCTATAACACACTGTGAGCCGTATGCTCTCTCCGGCTCTCCTATAACACACACTGTGAGCCGTATGCTCTCTCCAGCTCTCCTATAACACACACTGTGAGCAGTATGCTCTCTCCTGCTCTCCTATAACACACACTGTGAGCCGTATGTTCTCTCCAGCTCTCCTATAACACACACTGTGAGCAGTATGCTCTCTCCGGCTCTCCTATAACACACTGTGAGCAGTATGCTCTCTCCGGCTCTCCTATAACACACTGTGAGCAGTATGCTCTCTCCGGCTCTCCTATAACACACACTGTGAGCAGTATGCTCTCTCCGGCTCTCCTATAACACACACTCTGAGCAGTATGCTCTCTCCAGCTCTCCTATAACACACTGTGAGCAGTATGCTCTCTATGGCTCTCCTATAACACACACTCTGAGCAGTATGCTCTCTCCAGCTCTCCTATAATACACCCTGTGAGCAGTATGCTCTCTCTGGCTCTCCTATAACACACTGTGAGCAGTATGCTCTCTCCAGCTCTCCTATGCAGTATGCTCTCTCCGGCTCTCCTATAACACACACTGTGAGCAGTATGCTCTCTCCGGCTCTCCTATAACACACTGTGAGCCGTATGCTCTCTCCTGCTCTCCTATAACACACTGTGAGCCGTATGCTCTCTCCTGCTCTCCTATAACACACTGTGAGCAGTATGCTCTCTCCAGCTCTCCTATAACACACTGTGAGCAGTATGCTCTCTCCAGCTCTCCTATAACACACTGTGAGCAGTATGCTCTCTCCGGCTCTCCTATAATACACTGTGAGCAGTATGCTCTCTCCGGCTCTCCTATAACACACACTCTGAGCAGTATGCTCTCTCCGGCTCTCCTATAACACACACTCTGAGCAGTATGCTCTCTCCGGCTCTCCTATAACACACACTCTGAGCAGTATGCTCTCTCCGGCTCTCCTATAACACACTGTGAGCAGTATGCTCTCTCCGGCTCTCCCTGGCTCTCCACACCGTGAGCAGTATGCTCAGTAGTATGCTCTCCCTGGCTCTCCACACCTTTAAATACCTGACAGAAAGTAAATTGGAACCAGCAGTTATCCACGCAGAGTTAGAATCACAGGTTTAAATTTGGGGGAATTCTCGGAACAGACAAAACACATTTAGTAACTATCACTGGAAGTCTGGGACTGTCGCCAGATATGTCTCAGTTTATTTGCTAAAGCATTTATTCTGACCAGGTAAGTCCACGCTGAGGCTATACACAGGCAAGACAACGCTCAAAAACATAAAGTGTTCTACAAGTGACATTTTATACAGTTTTAATTTGTTCCCTTTTATTTTTTTGCCTTTCTTCCTCATGTCAGCAACTAATATATAAAATATATTATGGGTTCACATTAGGCTATTTCCTCATCGGTTGCAAACCTCCCAAAAAGGAACACGTATTCATCAAATTGCAAACAAAAAGATTGATTCTGTACCATACACAAAACAGGAACAAAATATTTTTGTGTTGTTCTTGTACGTATGACTTATGTTTCAATAATACAGAATCTGTCACTAAGCCACAAATTACCGGTATTTTAAGTATATTTTACAGATGATCGCTAGCTAACATTTAAGAAGTTCTCAATATTTTCTGAATGTTTTCCAGTTTTCTATGGGAACCGACTGTTTACTAAATAGTTACATTGGCTGCAGAAGTGAGCCCAAATCGACCTACGGACTGTACATGGCCAAAACTTAAATTAGGACTTCTTTGGCAAGAGCATTGCCAACTTACTTCTACAGAGAGCAAAATATATCTTTCAAAAAAGTCTGTCGGAATTTCCAAGCGAATTTGGTATACGTAGTAACTCCTTCAAAGCTTGGATTGCTAGGTTTGCCTAAAATGAACATGGTATTTCTACTCCACAGAGGTCCAATATACCTACAATCTTTACAGTGGCCATAACAGGGATATTATTACGAGGGCTGTATTTCACCAGTAAGCAAAGGAGGCTTTATGGTGGTTGTATTGGCAAGCTTAATGCATCTTATACATTTGTATGTGTCAAGCTGGTAACTTTGGGATAGTTGTGGAAATATAATATATAAATGCTATATGAAATGCTAGTAATAATAATACTATGAGAGATCTGTGCAGAGGAAAAAAGACCACATTTGGTGGTAAATTGTGTTAGGTAAATTACCTCCTCATATGAATGGGGTTTGGGGAAGATATCCACCTTATATCTGAAATGAATAGTTTTGGGGGATTTTGACACATAACTGAACTTGGATCAACAAACCTGCTATGAACTTGACTCATCATCATCATTAAAAGGAATCGGGGTTCATGAAAGGTCACCCAATACAAAATGGCCGCTCCATACAAAACCATTTTCCATGCATTCATATACTAAAAATATTGATTGACTCACTTACTTCATGCATTGATTCAATGCAAAATAAATTCACAGACAGTAATGGGTTCAAGGATTTTGGTCAATATTCATAGCATAATTATATATAATAGGTACAATGATAACTAAGATTATAATTCCTCATTGCCATGTGCAATAATTGCACCATAATCTCTTGAATGGCAGTATGTAGAATGTATACACCATTGGATGTGGAAGGCTATCTCAAAGTACTCTTCGATCTTTCAGTTGGGCAAATAAGGGATGACCATGCAATTCTTGGAACCAGAAATGGTGAATGTATCATTCTTATTGTCATGGTGTAAAACTTGGGCAGAAGGTTTTAGTGTTTATTTTTCTAAAATAATGCATTTTAAAATGTTTGATTTTAAATGTAGTGCACTATGAAGCTTTTGTTTGCACTACATATTTTCACATTATTCCAGACACCCCTAACGCATGTCTTACTCGATACATGCTTACACAAGCTACAATGAGGATGCTCCTGATGTCTTTGGGGTCTAATTACTAAACAATTATCTAAACAAATATCATTGAAAATTCTACCATGGGGTTCCCAAGGATTTTCGATGCTTTACTGAAAATGGGATACTGGTGCCACACCTCTAACTTCCTTCTGTAAAGTCTATTTTATTTGACATGGTAGATTTGAAAAAGAGTCCCAGAATGTGCAGAAAGGAGGACCCTGGAATTAACTGGGGTCAACCCTGGGAAACTCAACAGTTGAATATGTCAGCCCAGCTGAAGAACCAAAATTCCACCAAAGTCCAAGAGGACAATCTTACCAGTGCTCAATCACCATGCTGAGACATGACTTCACAAACATATAGTAACAGAGCTGAACTTGAGTCCACACAAAATTTTATTTCTGAAGATCTTTGCTAAATAATTGTCATGGTCCACACACACCTGATGGGTCACGACAGGCAGTAAAAAATGAAAGAAAAAAAATAAACTTTCTGTGAAATCTTCCATGTGTACAATAAAATCGGAATTCTTCAGAACAATACATAATAGAGGGGCTCTGTACTTAGGGGTGTATGTGATGGATATTGTTTGGTTACGATATGTCAAATAGCTGCTTACTAGCTCCCATTCACACAGGATTCCAAGAGATTCTCATTCCTCCTTGTAGCCACCGTGAAGGTTAAATATAGCTTTATTTATGAAAGGACCTTGACGATGGTCCTGCAGTGATAGCTATGCCTGAGATGAACATTGAGCCATCTGGAGACACAAATTATGAAGGAGCAGACAGAGGTTTGTGAGTAGCGTCTTGTCATAGTTTGCATATTTTCACCATACCCTATACATTCTTCTGGAGGAAAAGTATATTATTCCCTGACATGACTTGCTGCTTTTTCAAACATCAACCCATACTAATCGTACCAGTTGTGCATGTTTTTGGCAGAATACAGCACTATACACCTCTGTCTTCTAAGAATTGTTTCTTGTTGGGCAGCTGTTTTGAACACTGAGGTCAGAGTAGATTCTGTCCAAGAAAACAGCCTTTACACATGGCTTTCTCAGCAATGATCATTGTGTACGGTGTTTCTGTTAACAAACGAGTTTCCAGATCTTTTCATTACGCCTTTTACTTCTAGGGATTTTGAATCCTGCCAAAACAGAAAGAGAAGCTCAGAGGAATCCATGAGTTCAGAGTTTCATTTGTTCGGAGAAAGGAAGCAACATGTCAACAGCTGGGAATGTTTTCTTCCACATTAAGGGCTGGCTATAAAATAATTGGATAAAATACTGGGTCAGTGAGTCCGAGTAACATGTGGGACTGAGAGACACCATACATTGAAACAGTGTTCAAACAGCAGCCTTTAAAGGGTTGGTTTTTTTTACAGTCAGCAGCCTCACTAAATGTTTTATTATAGTAAATCATGAACTGGGTAGGGTTTGCCCCATGCCTATGATTCTCTATGACATACAACCAGTGGCGTACCTACCACGGTTGCACGGGCCACTTGAATACCTTCTGGGTGGTGCACAGCACACCGGCCCAGGTCGGCAGTTCCCGGGGGTCTGGCAGGAGGAGCGGTTAGAGCACTTCTTATCAGACCAGGAACCACGGCAGAGAAGCAGGCACAGGAGGGGGGAGAGAGGGAGGGTATGGACACATGGAAGGGAGGGGGAGAGAGGTAGGAATGGGACACATGGAGGGGAGGGGATAGAGGGAGGGTATGGGACACATGGAAGGGAGGGGAGGAGGGAGAGAGGATATGGGACATATGGAAGTGAGAGGGAGAGAGGGAAGAATGGGACATATGGAGGGGAGGGGATAGAGGGAGGGTATGGAACACATGGAGGGGAGGAGGGAGAGAGGATATGGGAAATATGGAAGTGAGAGGGAGAGAGGGAAGAATGGGACACATGAAGGGGAGGGGGTAGAGAGGGAGAGTATGAGACACATGAGGGGGAGAGGGAGAGAGGGAGGGTAGGGCACACATGGAGGGTAGGGGGTAGAGAGGGAGCATATGGGACACATGAAAGGGAGGGGGAGAAAGGGAGGGTATGGGACACATGGAGGGGAGGGTGGAGAGAGGGTGGGTATGGGAAACATAGATGGGAGGGGGGAGAGAGGGTGGGTATGGGACTAATGAATGGCAGGGAGGGAGGGTATGGGACACATGGAGGGGGGAGGGTATGGGACAAATGAAGGGGAGAGAGGGAGTGTATGGGACAAATTAAGGGAAGGAGGGAGAGATGGTGGGTATAGGACAAATGAAGAGGAGAGAGGGAGGATATGGGACAAATGAAGAGGAGGGGGAGAGAGGATGGGTATAGGACACATGGAGGGGAGGGGGTAAAGAGAGGGTATGGTACACATGGAAGGGAAGGGGAGAGAGGGAAGAATGGGAGGGAAGAGAGGGAGGGTATGGGACACATGGATGGGAACGGTAGATAGGGAGAAATGGGACACAGGGAGGGGGAGAGGGAGAAATTGGACATATGGAGGGGCTGGGAGGGAGGAAGGTATGGGAAAAATGAAGGGGCTTAGGGGAGAAAGAATTGAACACATGGAGGGGCTATGGGGTCAAAGAAATGAGACACGGGGTGGGGGGGCTGGGAATGAGACACCGGGGGGGAATGAGACAACTGGGTGGAGGAATGAGACATGGGGAGGTGGGAGCGAATGAGACACCGGGGGGGGGGAGGGGGAGGGCATCGGATGAGACACATGGGAGGGGGGCAATTTTTGGTGGATTCTAGTTACGCCTCTGCATACAACCCTCACCATTAACTCCCTTCCTTCCCAACAATGTGTATGCTCTGGCTAACTTTAGTTTTGCATTAAAAAGGCAGAATTTATGACATGTTGCCATAAGGGTTTTGCCCAATGTTCTGATCAACAGTTAAAGTTCTTGTTACATGTTACATCTACCTTGGTAAAGTTCTATCTATACCCTTATGATATACCTCTTGTTATGCCATACACCATACTTCTAATCTACTTATCATTAATATTGTGGCATTTACAGCTTGTATGTGATCTTTTCTCTGTTATAAAATAAAATGGTGCTAACTCCTCAACATATTCTAATACCTTACTGTGACCAGCATGTAACCAACGTAATGTTATTTCTTGTCTGTTATGTCATGAAAGCACCTGGAAAGACAAAATGTAAGGCAGAATTGCAAAAATTATACTTATCTTATGAAGCTACATTTAAAGTCTACTTCCTTCTGCTCCACTGCTGGTTTTCACTCTGCAGAGAAATACATATTTAAGCCACGGCTTGCTTTGTCTTTCTACATTTTTGCAGAGGAATTCGAAATAGCACCCCTTCCTTCATCTCATATTACATATTAAGGGACTACTTTAGGGATTGGGGAGAAGAGAGGTGGTCTCTGAGAAGAGCGGGAACGTCCATAAAAAGCACACAGTAGTACGCTTGCGAGCCTACAGTTAGGCAAGGGCCACAAACTGCCAAGCACAGCAGCACTTATACAGATAGGGGCCCCCAAGTAGGCACTTACTTGCCCATGCCACTCCTTCTCTGCCTCTGAGCATATTGAGTACACTACAATGAGTTATTTTGCAAGCTGCAATAACAGCCTGCAAAGCCCTGTATAGTACAGATACACTTACGTGGAAATACTCTTTCTAGTGCAGTTTTTCTCCATTGAAAATATTACTCATACATTTTCATTACCCATTCCATTGACCCAATAGGAACCATTCCACCCAGCATTTGCTATACAGAAGAAAGAGGCTCCTATTCAAATGGGAAGCACTGTACATGTATACAAGTAAGTACACATGCATAAAATTAGTACATATGAACAACCCTTTAACCACTGGTTTTAAACAGAAACTCAAGGACTGTCTGGGGCACCTAAAACAGAGAAATAAAATCAGACTATTTGCACAAGAAGCACGTTGTATAGTAAATATAAATTTTATTCATATTTTCATTATTTTGTCATTTACGGGGACACAGAAGGAAGAAAGTAACCCCACATTTTGAATGTATCATTTTGATAATACACCAAAAATTATGTAAAAAAACAAAAACATTTAAATAACCAGCACATTTACAGATAAACACTGATTCTGACACACTACTCTAAGATCAGGAAGAGGTTCCATCAATCAGAAGCCTCTTATTCTGTTGGTTTTTGTATGGAATACCTCGATTATCCCCCAGTTGCAGATCCATTCAATAAGCAGGTGGCCATGCTACGTTTGTTATCATGAAGGTTGCTAAGATTCTCTCCAGGGGTGATGAGAGATTTTTGTCCTAGTTGTGCGTGCATGGTGTACCCACACATTCGATTAATCTTAGACAGCAAAAGCGAATAATGTCTCCTTTAACTGTACAGAACCAGTGGGTACTCTTATATCTGCTGTGATTTTTTTTATTGCAATGTACTCTCTTCCCCATAAACAATTTAATGATTCAAAGTATGGTGCCTAGAATGACCCTTTAATTACAGGTTTTTTTAGAAACAATATTGTCTGCAAAATGGGAACCAAGATCTAATGTAGCGGTCTCGTTAAGTTTGTAAGCAAGCAAACTGGTCAGAGATACAATAAAAATGTAATGTTTTATTATTATTTTTTTAGGTATTTTGTAGTTGTTTGATATATCTGCATATATCACTGATAGGCGATGCTGAGGAATTTCTTTAACGGTACTGATATGGTTTTAATACTCAGGGTTCCGAACCATATCAGTACCTCCCCTACCAAGGTCAAACCTTTCTCTTTAGTGTGACTGTCTGACATTTTTATTTGTTCAATAGTTCTCATTTATTTATATTTTTCCTGGAAAGCAACTATACAAACTAAGGTAAAAAAGGTCAGCACACACACGTGAGATATCGAGTGTGAGGACTGCATCACGTCAACTCGGTTAAGCAAGTGAAATCCAGGCTGAGCCTATCAGTTCTGCTAAATTCACACTCGTTTTTAAAAAATAAACCTTATTTTTTTCTCTTCCCTGTAAATGTTTAGTCACTGTGTATATTGTAAATAAAGCCAAAATGATTCAAACCTAAATTTTGTGCTGGTTCATTAAAGGGACGCTCCAAGATGAAAGTTTACAGATAAAGCATTTAAAAAAAAAAAAGTTTTTGCCTTTTCTGCAAGTATTTAGGCAAGCAGCAGCAGTATTAAGATCTTGCCAAGGTACTACCCCAACATGCAAGCTAGAGGCAATTATTAAAAAGATAGAGTACGAATTACCGGACCTCAGAGTGGGGATAATCGGAGACAGGTTAAGGATAGGAGAAGGTAGAATAATCGAGTATACAAAGCCAAGATCAGGGATTCAAGAGGTAAGAACAGTCGAAATAACAGAGCCAGGTCAAACCAGAAAAAAACACTGAATACTATAATGCACTCTTGGGCTGCTAAGACTACGGCAGGGCAAGGAAGTTATGTCAGTGTGTTTTGATTGGTTGGGGAACAATTGAGCTAATCAGCAATTTATTATATAAATGTGTTTAGCTAACAAGTGATTTGGGCTACTAAAATGGGGCGGAACCAAGCGTCTCACGTCATGACATCAGTGCAAACACGTGCATTCAGCATTGGCCAAATGACGGACGCTTCATCAAATGGAGGAGGTTTGGCATCAGTTTGGGGAAGAGGAGCATCACGGACTAAGAGGGGGTATGACAGATCTGCCCACACCAGGAAGAGGTGCTGCCAATGAAGAGTCTCTCATTTTGGCCTGTGGGAGATAATCTTATTCTTATTAGGAGCCATTCTGTCCAACTCCAGTCAGAGTTACTCACGTGCAAACCACTGGTGAAGTGCTCATGTACAGGTCAAATGCCTTGTTCATTTTGTGCAGCACAATGCACTTGCACTGCACTTGTTATGCATATTCCTCTGGTGACATCACAGACCAAACTCAGGACAGTCGGACAGGAAGTTTTTAGCAGCTCACTTTTCAACTCCTCAATTTGCAATGTAGTGAAAAGACCTCTCAGATACCATTGCCTCCATGATTACATTATTATTGAACAAGCATCCACTAATCACTGTAGTTCAACTAACTGTCTAAACCTAAATGTATACACTAGGCCCTAGTGAGTACATTTAAGCCTAGTGTATACATTTAGTGACTAGGGGATACAGGGTACCCTGACCATTTTGTACAGCAATTACCATTAAAAACAGTGATTGGTGATGACACTGCACTCTAATGAATGCACTGCCCTTTGCAACGCCACCATTTTCATTGCTGACACATTGAGCAGCCATTTTAAAAGCAGACTTGTAGGGGGAAACAAGCAGAATGATGATGATAGTGAATAGCCATTTTTTTAGTCCTTTATTTAAAGAAAATAAAATGATGGGAAAAAATGAAGTATATATCTCACAGTAAAACATGTTGATGATTTCCTGTGCTCAGAGCCAACTTTGCAGAAGAATAGAAGCACTTTCAAGAAAGTTCCTTAGGATCAGACTGTTGTTCTCTAGATACAATGGAAGTTTGGATGCAAATTCTCGTGTTTATCTATCACTTCCTCCAAAATGACCTCAACACTGAAAAACTGAAAAGTGTTTTATGCTGTTATAAACTAGATTTGAAGGTCACTACAAATCTGTCATTGTTTGCACAATTCTATTTTTTAAAATGAAAGGTCACCCGTTGATATATTTACAGTGTGATATTTTTTCAAACTGAGATGGACGCCACCGATAATCAAATTTGCCCCTCGACATTAAGTGACTTTTGCTTCTTTTAAAACCTTTTTCTTAAAATGTAGCTTTTAATACCATGCACTTGGTTGGGTCCGTGGTCTTTTAATACCCTAACCTGCACACAGCTCGGAGCATATACATCAAAGCCCCCAACATTGTGACAAATGAAATCACAGTGTGAGTGGCAATGGGTTCTTGTGGGGGCATGCCAGTGATGCAATTCACGCCACTGCTTGGCATGATTTTCACGCAGGTAGTGTACTTAATAATGCAATCGTGCTGCATTTTTCCATGAGGGAGGGGACATTTCTCACGGGACAACACAGGAAGCTGATATTTAGATGTTATTACCCATCTCGATTGTAATTGGCTGCACTCATCATTATGGCAATCTTGTACAAGAAAAAATAGCAATCTGTATAAATCATGGCACACATCTGTTTTCTTCTGACGCCTAGAAGCTCCTTCCAGTGAGTTAATAACACTTTTGGGTTATGACATCATAACCTGGTGTCCTTATATCCTAGTGCATCATAGCTTATGTGTCCTTATTTCCCAACATTGTGACAAATGACATCACAGTGTGAGTGGCAATGGGTTCTTGTGGGGGCATGCCAGTGATGCAATTCACGCCACTGCTTGGCATGATTCTCACGCAGGTAGTGTACTTAATAATGCAATTGTGCTGCATTTTTCCAGGAGGGAGGGGACATTTCTCACGGGACAACACAGGAAGCTGATATTTAGATGTTATTACCCATCTCGATTGTAATTGGTTGCACTCATCATTATGGCAATTTTGTACAAGAAAAAATAGCAATCTGTATAAATCATGGTATAAATGTTTTCTTCTGACGCCTAGAAGCTCCTTCCAGTGAGTTAATAACACTTTTGGGTTATGACATCATAACCTGGTGTCCTTATTTCCTAGTGCATCATAGCTGCACAAAGGGATAGTATAAACGATTCCTCACGGAATACCATTGGGAATTAAGCCACACATGGAATAAGATTCAGCATATATGGGCTCCAAAATAGGTTAACTAATCAGTTCACCATAATACTAATTGTTTATCGTCTGCCCATATAAGTGTGCTCCATACCTCCCAACATTGAGAAGAATAAAATTCGGAAAGGCGGTGATTTGGCCATATGAAAGGGCAGGTCTCCTGAAAATGGGAAATGCCAGCCTAGTATGTGTGTATACCACACTGATGGGCAGCCTCACTGGGAAAACCCAATCCCTGGGGGCCGAATACCCTGAGTTTAGTTTGACTAGTCGGCGCACATGCTATGATGAATCACCCCCTTTACAGCCACACGTGTCACCAGTGATGCAGTCTAGGCATGGTGGCATCTTACCAGAGTGTTTTTAATAAATGTCTGAGGTACCTCTCACTATCTTTATACTTTAGCCTTTATACTGGCTAAGCATTGTGGGAAATGTAGTTTACCAACATGTGCAGTGCCAGGCTAGGTCTCAATTAACCTCCTAGAGCAAGCATGTCAAACTTGCAGCCCACAAAGGATATATTTACGGCCCACCTGCCCAACAATCGCGTGCTCCTGCAGGCCAGCCACTCCCCTTTCCCTCCCACGGTCGATCGCGTGCTCCTGCAGGCCAGCCACTTCCCTTCCCTCCCACAGCCGATCGCGTGCTCCTGCAGGCCAGCCACTGCCCCTTCCCTCCCACAGCCGATCGCGTGCTCCTGCAGGCCAGCCACTCTCCCTTCCCTCCCACAGACGATCGTGTGCTCCTGCAGGCCAGCCACTCCCCCTTCCCTCCTGCTCGCAGTGTCAGAGGAGCGTCAGGCCTGCTTGAGCAAAGAAGAGCAGGGCTGGAACTGGAAAACAGGCAACTCGTCTTAAGGTAGGGGAAGAGAGGTTTGGGGGACCTTTCTGTGTAGTGTGTTAAATTGGGGAGGGGGGCATTGCATTAATTTAAGGGGGCAGTGCATTAAATTGGGGGTTGGAGTGGGCAGTGTATTAATTTTAGGGAGGGGGCACTGAAATAATTTGGGGGAGGGAGGGGGCCAGAGTAATTAAATTGGGGAGGAGTGCAGTATATTAAGTTGAGTGAGGAAGGGGGCAGTGTATTAGAGTGGTGGAAGGGGCAGTGTGTTAAATTGGGGGGAGGGCAATGTAATAATTTGGGAAAGGAAGGGGGCAGTGTAGTAGAGTGGTGGGAGGGGGCAGTGTGTTAAAATGGGGGAGGGGTAGTGTGTTAAATTTGGGGAGGGTAAATGTATTAATTTGGGGAAGGAAGGGGCAGTGTAGTAGAGTGGTGGAGGGGGAAGTGTGTTAGAGTGGTAGAAGGTGGGCAGTATGTTATATTGGGGGGTGGGTAGTGTATTAGTTTGGGGAAGGGAGGGGGCAGTGTAAGTGGTGGGAGGCGGGCAGTGTGTTAAATTGGGGGAGCAGTGTATTAAATTGGGGGAGGGAGGGGGCAGTGTATTAAATTGGGGGAGGGAGGAAGGGGGCAGTGTATTAAATTAGAGTGCTGGGAGGAGGGGAAATGTATTCAATTAGAGTGGAGAGAGGAGGGGCAGTGTACTAGATTAAGGGGCAGTGTATTAGATTTGGTGGAGGGGCAGTGTATTGAATTTGGGGGCAATGTATTAAATGTGTGGGCAGTGTATTAGAATGGGAGGAGGGGGCAGTGTATTAGACTGAGTCTGCATGGAGGCAGCTTTTTGCCACATGTGCACAATAGCTTTCAAATGCTTTCCTATGGATTAGCTGAGATCATCTCAAGTTTGATGATCTCAGCCAAAGTGAAGAACATACTCATAGGACTTCAAAATCAATACGATAACGTATTTTGTTTTTTTACAACTGTGCAACAGCATACATTCACCATTTCAATCCCATTACCAAACATTTCTTAATATGTCAAGGTAGTTGGACTGAAACATTGGGTATATGCAAATACATATCTCCTTAAAATAAATTCGCTCTTTTGTTTACTTTGAAGCCCTACGAACGTGAGGACGTCCAGTGCCAGTTAGGCAATTTTTTTTATATTGTACTTTTCAAAATAAACCTTTGTTTCTATGAAAATTAAATTTTTTGTTTTTTTGTGGCCCACATTAACTTAAGCCTTGTTTATTTGGCCCTTGTTAGTCTTTGAGTTTAACATGCTTGTCCTAGAGAATTTCACAGCCTGTAACAAGATTCCGATGGCTTCAATGCTCCATATATAACGTATATGTTCTGAAACTCTAAATATCATCAAATGGTTAGCAACAAAAACTTGCAGAACTATTACCTCCATCCGCCTCATATTCTACAGATAATGTTAATAAATACAGCTAATAACATTGACGTAAATAAAAATTAACATTATTTTGAATTTACTTTTTTGAATTTTTCAATGCATTCATTACATGTTAAATGTCTTTAAATTATTTAATAGGCAATAATTATAAATGCAAACATTTTTGGAATTTTTATATTAATTTCATATTTTATCTCCTACAATCTTTTTAAGTATTATTTAACATGGGCTTTTCCCATCTGGTGGGAAAACCAATTAATCATCAGTATCCCCTGTGTTACAGAAAAAAACGAGTTCAGTATATATTAGTCTGATTTGATCAATAGTTAAAAAAAAAACAGATTATTAGGAATTCATTATCCAATATGCTTCACAGTACAAATATGCATTAATTGATTTTTGCTTTCAAAGTGGATTAATTGCAGTTCATCTTTGGGAATATTAGAGCAAATTGAACCAATAGACAGATTTTAGATGGTAATCCTTGCTCCTCTGAGGCTAATCAATAACAGTCTGTAATGAAAAGTCCCAGGAAGCACTAATCCTTAATTGTGAGAAACTTCACACATGGGACACAGTGGTGAGGAAGTAACATGGCTGCCAGAATTGTCTCTCTAAAATATAACCTTACTTCAACCTACTCAACGTTAAATAATGCAAATATATCTTTATACATTATACTCTGAACATCTCGAAATGGCCCAGATGCATTTGTCCTCTAGATTGTAAGCTTTTTGGTTGGAGCGGCGTCCTCTAGATTTGTAATAGCTTGTTACATGGGTCATTAAATCCCCACTTACAGCATTATAAAAGATCTGCCAAATAAGTTGGCGCAATATAAATGTTAATAATAATAATACGTCATGCACAGTAATTCTTTAACTTAGTGATACTCACTGATTGCCTTTTTAGCCTTTGTTTTGCACTTTGGATTCAATTTGACTAAATTCAGCGTTTTGAGAATAACCCTCAAATTGATTGTCAAGTGTATACGTTGTCCAAAGCCAAACATTAAGAAAAACAGAAAATTATGGGGGAAAAAAATGTTTGGCAGAGCAATCCATACTATAGATTGAGGCTACCATGACTGCAAGCTTCCATAGAGATATAAACAGGATGGGTCTCCAGTCCACTCAGCTGTCCATAGATGTTTGGTGATGTATTATATGCAGGCAGATTCCCAACAGGAAGATGATGATGAGTTGAATGGTCTACACCTAGCTGAGACAAACTCCCGGTCAGGGAAATATCATCTGTACAGTACATACAGTGAGGGGGGAAAAGTATTTGATCCCCTGCTGATTTTGAACATTTGCCCACTGACAAAGAAATGATCAGTCTATAATTTTAATGTATTTTAACAGTGAGAGACAGAATAACAAAAAAAAAATCCAGAAAAACAGGTTAAAAAGTTATCAATTGATTTTCATGTCAATGAGTGAAATAAGTATTTGATCCCCTATCAATCAGCAAGATTTCTGGCTCCCAGGTGTCTTTTATACAGGTAACGAGCTGAGATTAGGAGCACTCTCTTAAAGCGAGTGCTCCTAATCTCAGCTCGTTACCTGTATAAAAGACACCTGTCCACAGAAGCAATCAGTCAATCAGATTCCAAATGCTCCACCATGGCCAAGACCAAAGAGCTGTCCAAGGATGTCAGGGACAGGATTGTAGACTTACACAAGGCTGGAATGTGCTATAAAAACATCACCATGCAGTTTGGTGAGAAGGTGACCAAAGTTTGTACGATTATTCGCAAATGGAAGAAGCACAAAATAACTGTCAGTCTCCCTCGGTCTGGTGCTCCATGCAAGATCTCACCTTGTGGAGTTTCAATGATCATGAGAACAGTAAGGAATCAGCCCAGAACTACACGGGGGGATCTTGTTGATGATCTCAATTCAGCTGGGACGATAGTGTCTAAGAAAACAATTGGTAAAACACTATGCCGTGAAGCACTGAAATCCTACAGCGCCCATAAGGTTCCCCTGCTCAAGAAAGCCTATGTACAGGCCCGTCTGATGTTTGCCAATAAACATCTGAATAATTCAGAGGAGAACTGGGTGAAAGTGTGGAGATCAGATGAGACCAAAATCTAGCTCTTTGGCATCAACTCAACTCACTGTGTTTGGAGGAGGAGGAATGCTGCCTATGACCCCAAGAACACCATCCCCACCGTCGAACATGGAGGTGGAAACATTATGCTTTGGGGGTGTTTTTCTGCTAAGACACGACAACTTCACTGCATTACAGGAACGATGGACGGGGCTGTGTACCATCAACCTCCTTCCCTCAGCCAAGGCATTGAAAATGGGTTGTGGATGGGTATTCCAGCATGACGATGACCCAAAACACACAGTCAAGGCAACAAAGGAGTGGCTCAAAAAGAAGCACATTAAGGTCCTGCAGTCTCCAGACCTTAATCCTATAGAAAATCTGTGGAGGGAGCTGAAGGTTCGAGTTACCAAACGTCAGCCTCTAAACCTTAATGAATTGGAGAGGATCCTCAAAGAGAAGTGGAACAAAATCCCTCCTGAGATGTGTGCAAACCTGGTGGCCAACGTCTGACCTCTGTGATTGCCAACAAGGGTTTTGCTACCAAGTACTAAGTCAAAGGGGTCAAAAACTTATTTCACTCATTGACATGCAAATCAATTTATAACTTTTTTGACATGCATTTTTCTGGATTTTTTTTTGTTATTCTGTCTCTCACTGTTAAAATACACCTACCATTAAAATTATAGACTGATCATTTCTTTGTCAGTGGGCAAACGTTCAAAATCAGCAGGGGATCAAATGGGATGTTTTTGTGGGCAGTGTCAGTTGCATTTTCTGCTGGAGAGTGTGAATGCAAGGAATTATTTGTGTGAGGTGCATGTGTGTACAAATGAATGTGAAGAAGGGGTGTGTGTGTATGGGTATGTGTGTGTGTATATGGGTGTGTATGTGTGTGTGTCAGTGTGTGTATGTATGTGCCAGTGTGTGTCTGTGGGTGCAAGGTGTGTATATGTCACTGTGTGTATGTATTTGGTGTTGTCAGGGTGTTGTCAGGGTGTATAGTCAGAGTAAATGCACGTGCTTGTGGAACCTTCATCTCATGTACTATTTTTCCAACAATTAAGCATGTTCCTTACAGATATACATGCAATTTATATGAATGTATATACACAGAAATGCATAGATATGTGTGTGCAATATGTGCAACTATATATGTATGAGCAATGTCAAAAGGACTATTTATATAAGAGTAATATGTGTTCATGTGTGACGAATGTGTAAATGGGTAATGAAATAACTATATAGGTATAGGTAGGTATATGTATTGTGTATATATGGCTGATTGTGTATGTATGTATGCGTATAAAGCCACCTGCCCCCGGCTTGTTAACAGCAGGACGCTGCACTGAATTGTGGCAGCAGCTGCATCTCCTAAAACAAACATAGGGAATACATCCTGGCGTTTGTGCTTTCTCTCCCTCCTCAGGCTTTTTGACCATGACCATGACTAGGTTGAGACTGATCAGTCCGACCTGGAGAAGAGGTGGGTCACTGACACCTAGCTATCGGACTGACGCTGAGAGACAAGAGCTGCTGGATATAAGGATATAGGGAGTTGTGAAACAATGTATCACTGTGAGCAAAGCACCATAACTGCTACAATTCCACATTCACTAAAATAAATAGATAACTACAGATCAAGAACTTAGCAATCCTTTCTAACAAACGTACAGCATTAGCATGCAGGAACGGACAGGCCAAGACCTACTGGATTCAATAGGATTAAAGAATTCATTAGGCGGCACTCGGAGGCATCACCCAACTAATAATGCTGGGTAAATATGCATCTCCTCCAGCCGCCTTCCCAGTTATGCGTTAACATCTGCTCAACAAGACACCAGAATAAAGCACTGGAAAGAATGCCCAGCAAATTAAATCAGCTTCCATCACCTGAATCCACTGAATTATAGGCTGGCTGAGGAATTACAATAATAACGTGGCAAACAATGAGGTACATAATGAGTTGCCATTAAAGCCTGTCGAAAGTCACAGGCCGTCTTTATAGTATCTGATTCTTGGGATTCCAGAAGCAGGAGGACAGCCATGGTCGTCAACAAGGGCCTTTCACACGAGTTGTGCAGGAGCCTGACAGAAGCCTGTCTTTGTGGAGCGCAGTGGTGTGGGTTGTAGGAATGTAAAGGGAATGCAAGGCCAACATGTCACTGACACAATAAGAGGGTCTTTGTGAGAAAACACTGGGGCAGAATGACAATGACATCACTTAATATGACCTCATTTTTATCCAAAATATCAAGATGTTCCAAGACAGCACTGATATGCAAAACAGCACATTCCCCTCTCTCTTGAGCTTCTTGCTTTGTGAAGTTACAAAGAATATGATCCATCGGGGAGGAGGGGGGGGGGATTCTTCAAGTAAGCACTTGGATTTCCAAGGTCAGTGGCGCCATTAGGAAAAAGGTCTCTATTCTGCTCCAGCAGCTGCCACACAGTTCAAAAGGACCACAGCTCGGCAAATCCACCAGCAGACATAATAATGGAGAAATATTCTATTTAAGAGGAAGAAAGGGTGCCATGCAAGGGACATTATCCTGCCGCTAAAGCATGGTCGGACATAATACCCACAGTTTCCTATTGTGTGTATTTTATGGAGAAGGAAGGTGATGGGGGGCCTTTTAAAATGTCTGCCTACACGATTGGGTTTCTTTCATTGATGGTTCTCATAGAAAGTAATTTGAGGTCTGGTTATATTAATGATAAATGTCAAACACGGATCAGGCTGAACGTGACCTCTCTATAAATCCTCAGTATCCCTGAGCGTTCTGTTGCAGACCCGGTTTCCCCGTCCTTATATGGAGTCACAGTGCACTCCTCTGCTGATAGCTTGGATTAGGTAACACTAACAAAGGAAAAGATGTTAACATGGATAGAACTGTCCTTCCCAGAACCAGCTGGGAGAAGAACGGATAGTTTGCAGAATTTTGGAATATTCAGAAGAGTAAAGATCACGTAATGATTCCAGGAGGATAAGTGTTAAAAATGAAAATAAGAGTGACATCATGCTTGCTAGTGGCCAGCAGAATCTCTATTCAGCTTTAAATGGACAACTTTCTAAAAGTAGCCTAATATTCCACAATATCAGCAAAACTCCCATTGTTTGCTTATTACACGTAGATGGTGTCTCAGCCATCTAGAGGGAGATGTATTGGGCAGTTTTAAAGAGACACAACAGCTATGATAATAAAGGCTGCTGGTACATGTGTGTGTTTTAACTCAAACCTTAAAGGGGAAGCCAGAGCACTGATTGTAGGTATTCAGAGTACCTGAGTTGGTCCAATATATTCACTTTTATTTGTTGTACGACATAAAGTATTTTATATTTTCTAGTTTGGACAGACGGCAATACATTCAGAAAGTTTTTGCAGAATTTTGAAGGCTGACAAAAAATTGGGAGAAAGGGCCTGGGTGGTACCATTTATGAAGTATTGTATGTTGTACTGGCACAATAATTCTAAAAAAAAACAGAAAACCAGCATTGTGCAGACACGCACATGCAGAGGACTTAATTTACAGCTTGCGTACTTGCATTCAATGGTACGCTTGCGCATGCACTATCTAACCTTGTTTGTTGATTTTATCCCTTGTCACAGAGAGGTGCAACACCAGGAGCAATAACCTGGGTTTATCAATCAAACATGGACCTCTGTTTCTTAAAAGAAATTGATGGATAAGATCGAAATATGTTCCGGTGGCCTCATGTTGGAATAGAATATGCAACAGAGGAGAAGATATTCAAATGACTGTTTGTGACTGTTCATGATTATGTGAACATATTATTAGCATTTATATATATTGCCAACATATTCCGCAGCACTGTACAATTATAGAATGAGTATATATGACAGCAAGTTAGTTGCATACAGAATATAACAGAAACAAGAGGTGAAAAAGACCTTATGGACTGAGAGCATCAATGTGACCACAAATGGAGGATGCTGCTTCTAGACTGTTTAAGTCAGGCTTCCCCGAACTCCGGCCCTCCAGATGTTGCTAAACTACAACTCCCATGATTCTCAGCCTATATATTTCATTCATAGAATCATGGGAGTTGTAGTTCAGCAACATCTGGAGGGCCGGAGTTTGGGGAAGCCTGGTTTAAGTTTTCTACCTGACAACTCAGTATAAGCACACACCAATTGGACCAGATAATTACATTTTGTGGTCGAAGGTTTGCTTCTTGTCCAAGCAATATAGACCACAAAGTCTATCCATGGATCCATGGCTGCTACATATAAAAATCGGACTCTGAGGCCATTAACGTCAAATGCTACACATTCTACAGAAAATAAACATTTTGCAAACAGTTTTTGGGTCTGTACCCTTTCTGTTACATCATTGCACCCTGTTCATGTTTCAGAGCTCTGGTTTGTAAGTGGTTAACACCAAGCAGTCACACTAAATCTGTTAGCCTGCATTGTCCATATGCTCTCTGATTTAGTACACAGTTCTTCCCTCGGATCTCCGACCAGGAAAACGGAAAATGTGCTGCATTTGGCCGAGGCTAACTTTAGAAATCCCCTTTTCTCGACAGCATTGTGCAGTCAGGGCATGATATATTCAGCAAATTCAATGGGATACATAAACGCGATCTGATCTGAATTAACTCATTGAGAACATGTGCAGACCTCTTCCCCTAAAGTACATTCTCTCTGGTCTGAGCAGCGGACAGCAAGCCATTGAGAAAAGTCTGTTTTCTCTTTTCTTGGCTTTATTTCCTCCATGTCTGGAGGTTATGACCCCTTATTAGATTTCCAAGCAGTTTATGGGCCCCCTCTGCAGAGTCCACCTCTTTAGCAGCGAATGTCCATGTCCTGTTATAAAATACTAGGCTATGGTCTTTCTCCTCATTATATACACATCTTTTTTCTTAAGGATCTTGTTGGCTTGTTTAAAACCACACACTGCTTAGTCTAACCTTTGTGGGTCGGGACTTAAAGGCCATTCAGGGGCAGTAATTGGTGTCCTGTCAAGAGATTTAATTGCCATTCATAACTTGCATTGTATTTTACAGCACAAATTGACGCAATTGGGCAATATAATTAATTACGGTGCAAAATAACTTGTTTGTTTTTTTTAATCCCAAATTCCTCAAAAGGCGCAAAATACTTTAAAAAATATAAATGGTCTGTCATTTATCACGTGTTAAATGTGATGTGATAATTAAGCTATGTGATTCAGGAAACTTTTGTTTTGTTTTTTAAATAGGTTAAAGGGAGGCGTTTTCTAACTAGCCAGAGCAGAAAAAACAAAAACATGTGTGTGTATGTACAAGAGTCACATCTTTGATTATTCCACCTTATGTTTCCTATTTTTGCTTTAAATACTTTATAGGGATATAGTAAATATAACTATAATAATAAAATTATAATAATACCAATAATTTCTAATATTCTAAAATAGTTCAATTTTGTGAATACGATTGCACACTATTAATTAATACACTTTTACTAGTGCCACATGCTAATTAGTGGTACATTTTTGTTAATGTCTAGTTATTTTGCAATTCGCTTTATATACCTCCCTAAATATTTTAAGAAATACTACGGAGTCAATATAACCATACCTCCCAACAACCCAGCTTCTGGCAGGACTGTCCTAATTTCGGGCTCCTGTCCCAGTGTCCTAGGTGTCCCCAGATGCAGGACACCCAGTAACTGGGACAAATCACCAAAGATGCAAAAATGCAATATGCATTACTGTCAGGCTCATATACCTATAATGATTCCATAGGAAATAAATCAGTGCTCAGTTAATGAAACCCACTTGCATTTTTTATGGTTATATTCACAAATTTCCATTTCAAAACTGAGTGGGAACATACTTGGTAATATTCCAAAATGTACCGTTGGGTGCAACCACCACTATATGAAAAGTACATTTTAGAATTTGCTTGAATTATCACTTTGTTTTATCATTTTTTAAATTTCACTGCCACTTAAAAGATCTGATAATATTAATGATAATCTGTTCAGGAGTCTGAAGGTAGTATTGAGCTGACATTTGGAAAATTGTTCAGCAAAAAAATACTTATTTATGTTTTTAAAAGTAAGAGGATTTAACAAGCGTTTAACACCAGCAGTATATTTCAGAACTTTATCCACATGTATGTAGGAGGTAAAGGAGAATGGCCAAGGCAGGGGGTGTACCAGTGATGTACTCCATACCAATCAAAGTGTGCCATTGAATGAATGGACCTCCCTGGGAATTGAAATAAATTTCAAAGATGAGTATTTATTTTTTCAATTTTTTTTAATGTATTTAATACATGATCTAAGTAATGCATTACTATATGGGTGTCACGGCTCCCGGCTCGCCGTGATGCGCGTCTGTGCCCGGGCGGCATGACCGCACCAGCATGCTGAGTCCACCTGCTCAGCGGCGAGCCGGGAACTGCTCCTCTGCGGTGCTCGGGAACAACCAAGATGGCTCCGCCCCCCAAAATTATACGAACGTGTACCTTGCCCTGTCGTGGTTTCCTGTTCCTGGTTTCCGAGAGTGCGTTTATCCTTGTGATTCTGATATCCTGCTATTTTGACCTTGGCTATTCCTTGTTATTCCGATTTCTGGTCTCCCTGACTTGGCTTGTTTAAACGGTATTGTGTATTTCTGGCTTCCTTGACCTCAGCTTTCCCTTTGACCATTCTCTCTCTCTAACGTATTAGTCCGGCCATTCTAAGGACCGGTTTACGTTCTATCCTTTTTTTCCTTTTTATTTTCTATGCATATGCTTACAAAGTTTCTGCATGTTGGACCACACTAGCAGTCGTGACAATGGGTTATCTCCAGCCCGGGCTATTTTTTGTTATTAACTTCATGTGCACACCAGTTATCGATTGTATGTTAATTGCACTACATTATAGAAGACCTTATCACCATCCTAGAGCCTGTAAGGACATTCTTACCTGGGGATGTGTCTGGGTTGTCCAAATATCGAGGTTTATAAAACCATGTCACAGAGCTCAAATTGCCCACACAAGCCAAAGCTCTAGTACAGGCATAGGCAACTTTCGGCACTCCAGATGTTTTGGACCACACCTCCCATGATGCCTTGCCAGCATTATGGGGGATGTAGTCCACAACATCTGGAGTGTCGAAGGTTGCCTATCCCTGCGTCTAGTACATCAACTCTCAAAATGCTCAGCTCCATAAAACTGTTGGAGTTATTACTCACTTAAAGTGTGAATGGTCTGGAATTTAAATAGAATTTAAAATTTAAGGCTATAATGGTCAAATTAAAAATATTGACTTGGAAACATTTGTGATGTCTCCTATTGAGGCTTAAAATTTGCCATTTTCTGGAGCTTTACCCATAGCTCTTTTTTTAAGGGAATAAATAGATACATAGAGCCACAGTATAAAAAGTCTAGAAGCCAGAATTCTCCTGCACAGGAAAAGGGAACTTTGCACAGCGTTGCCACCCTCAAACCACCCCCAGAGCTCAGGTTTGTGGGGAATTTGGAGAAAGAGTGGGAGATATTTAAGCAAAGGTTTATTCCGTATACGAAAGCCAATCCGATGTTGGATCAGTTCAACATAAGTTGATTTGCAGCAGATGGATAAATGTTACATGATGGAAGAGCCCCAGCTTTCCTCAAATCACTTGAAAATTGTTTTAATGCAAACCAGGAGACTGAAAACAAAAAGTCATTACACCATCACCACTGCAGTGAGCAGAGTCTAAGACGCTTAAGACACTTCCTGATTTGATGAGAGCTCACTATAGAAGTGACCAAAACAAGGTGAGTATCTTTTTATTTGTTGCATACTTTTAATGCATTATCCCTGTAATATATTAGAAATCGGAGTCCAGAATGTCCCTTTGAAGTGTGTATAATGCCTTTCAGAGGGACCACGGGGCAGATTTCGCACAGTAGCCCAAATTGCTATTGGCCTGTCTCCGGAAACAGAATAGTTAACTACGGCATTAAAGACTTTGTTTAAAAATAAATATGATTATATAATATTTTTTTTTTACAACAGATTATCATTTAATTACAGTTACTACTATGTTTCATTTGGAACAAGTCCTGGAATATATGTAACATTTGACCTTCTTTGATATATTTGTACACCACAAATCCCACATTTCAGGAATTTGTTCCCAAGTACTATTCATTTGTGAACCAGCAAAAGGTCTATGGCTGCCAGATAAAATTCAAACACCCCCTACACATTACCCCCCAGTTCTGGCTTGCATGCAGGAAAAGACTAGGTTTGCTGAGTATTTAGAAAGAGTGTTCCCACCTCCATTTTCCTGTATGGCTGTTATAAATAGGAAAAAGCACCACTTCTACAATCCGTTTCACTAAGTAGGTAAAGAAATCAAGTGTTAACCAATTTGTTCCAGTATTTGGACTGACTCCGAATGTGGACATAGAACCTTCGATCTGTCATCTGTTTTTGGATTTCCAAAATTAATCATACTTGCCAACAATCCTAAATTCTGAGGGGCAGACCTGATTTAAGACCACTGTCACAAGAGAATTTTCTGGTGTCCACCTTTTTAGAAAGTCCGAGAAAAGTATTAATCAGAATGACACAACCACGTTGGTTGTACAGCTGGGTACATCGCGAATGAAAACAATTGATTAACTGGTTTATCCTCCCAGTCCTTCCTCAACGTCCCCAACGTATGCAAAATTAGAATTACCTGAATGATTTTCATATGAAAACAGCTATATTTATACAAACTCGGTAATTATATAACGACAACTATTATTTTCTGGAATTGTGGTACTTCTGTTACACACCTGATATTTTTTGTTATTAACGCCATGTGCACACCAGTTATCAATTGTATGTTAATTGCACTACATTAAGAGGTCCTAGAGCCTGTAAGGATATTTTTACATGTGTTAGTACATATCTGTCTATGCATCTGTCTACATATTCCCAACACCATTGGTAAATCAAGCCTTCCTACGCTTTACTCAAGACTCTCTGTGTCATCAGAATTTGACTGTCGGTGTCATCAGAATTTGTTTCTGTATCAACATAAAACATTTGTTAAAAACTGTCTAGACTCTGAGCTGATCATTTTTCAATCTGTTCAGCGTTTTTTTTTATATATAAGAAAAAATATATATTCCAACCAACATAGGATATTTTGGGCAAATAACATGATCCGAGAGCCCACCAGTCTCTGTTTGCTGCACAGTGGGAAGCTTGGAACTGTTCTGCAAATGGCAGACTTTGATTGGCTGCTGACATCACATAATCTCTACAACCTTTTTTAATGTACTATAAAAAATTACCTTCTCCACGCCAAAACGCTGACGCTTACATAGACACATAGAAACATAGAAACATAGAATGTGACGGCAGATAAGAACCATTCGGCCCATCTAGTCTGCCCAATTTTCTAAATACTTTCATTAGTCCCTAGCCTTATCTTATAGTTAGGATAGCCTTATGCCTATCCCACGCATGCTTAAACTCCTTTACTGTGTTAACCTCTACCACTTCAGCTGGAAGGCTATTCCATGCATCCACTACCCTCTCAGTAAAGTAATACTTCCTGATATTATTTTTAAACCTTTGTCCCTCTAATTTAAGACTATGTCCTCATGTTGTGGTAGTTTTTCTTCTTTTAAATATAGTCTCCTCCTTTACTGTGTTGATTCCCTTTATATATTTAAATGTTTCTATCATATCCCCCCTGTCTCGTCTTTCCTCCAAGCTATACATGTTAAGATCCTTTAACCTTTCCTGGTAAGTTTTATCCCGCAATCCATGAACCAGTTTAGTAGCCCTTCTCTGAACCCTCTCTAAGGTATCAATATCCTTCTGAAGATACGGTCTCCAGTACTGTGTACAATACTCCAAGTGAGGTCTCACCAGTGTTCTGTACAATGGCATGAGCACTTCCCTCTTTCTACTGCTAATACCTCTCCTTATACAACCAAGCATTCTGCTAGCATTTCCTGCTGCTCTATTACATTGTCTGCCTACCTTTAAGTCATCAGAAATAATCACCCCTAAATCCCTTTCCTCATATGTTGAGGTTAGAACTCTATCAAATATTCTGTACTCTGCCCTTGGGTTTTTACGTCCAAGATGCATTATCTTGCACTTATCCACATTAAATGTCAGTTGCCACAATTCTGACCATTTTTCTAGTTTACCTAAATCATTTGTCATTTGGCTTATCCCTCCTGGAACATCAACCCTGTTACATATCTTAGTATCATCAGCAAAAAGACATACCTTACCATCAAGACCTTCTGCAATATCACTAATAAAAATATTAAAGAGAATGGGTCCAAGTACAGATCCCTGAGGTACCCCACTGGTGACAAGTCCAAGCTTCGAATATATTCCATTAACTACAACCCTCTGTTGCCTGTCACTCAGCCACTGCCTTACCCATTCAACAATATTTGAATCCAAACTTAAAGATTGCAGTTTATTGATAAGCCTTCTATGTGCAACAGTGTCAAAAGCCTTACTGAAATCTAGGTAAGCAATGTCTACTGCACCACCCTGATCTATAATTTTAGTTACCCAATCAAAAAAATCAATAAGATTAGTTTGGCATGATCTCCCTGAAGTAAACCCATGTTGTCTCTGATCTTGAAATCCATGTGTTTTTAGATGTTCATCAATCCTATCCTTTAACATGGTTTCCATCACTTTCCCCACTACTGAAGTAAGGCTTACTGGCCTATAGTTGCCCGACTCCTCCCTATTACCTTTCTTGTAAATGGGCACAACATTCGCTAACTTCCAATCTTCTGGGACTACTCCTGTTAACAATGATTGGTTAAATAAATCTGTTAATGGTTTTGCTAGTACACCACTAAGCTCTTTTAATAGCTTTGGGTGTATTCCATCAGGTCCCATTGACTTATTTGTCTTTACTTTTGACAGTTGAAATAGAACCTCTTCCTCTGTAAACTCACGTGTAATAAATGACTCATTTATCCTTTTTCTCAACTGAGGTCCCTTTCCTTCATTTTCTTCTGTAAATACAGAACAAAAATATTCATTGAGGCAGTCAGCCTGACCTTTATCCTCTTCTACATACCTTCCTTCTTTTGTTTTTAATCTAACTAATCCTTGTTTTACTTTTCTTTTCTCATTTATGTATCTAAAAAATGTTTTATCCCCCTTTTTTACTGACTGTGCTATTTTCTCTTCTGTGTGTGATTTGGAAGCTCTTATAACTTGCTTAGCCTCTTTCTGCCTAATCTTATAGATCATTTTGTCTCCCTCACTCTGGGTTTTTTTATAATTCCTAAATGCTAACTTTTTGTTTTTAACTATTTTGGCCACATCTGCGGAGTACCACAGTGTTTTCATGCTTGGCTAGATGAAAACAGCATAAATCTCTGCATTATTATTTTAAACTAATTTACTAATTTAAACTTAAATGTTTAAGTGACAGTTTAATTTTAAATAAGGGTACAGTCTCTAAATAAGTAACACAATCAAATAACAATGACTGGAGACGGGACTAAAAAATTGCCAGACTGACATTATTTGGAATCAGAAACAGACATATTAAAAAATTTGTATTCTGACTGATACATCACAACAGAAACAAAAATAAGACATGTTTATACCATCATCAATATATTATCAATATTCAGCCTTAGGCAGGATTCATGTTAGTTAAAGGCCATTATCCAAAAATAGTATCTACGAGTCACAGGTTTAGTTCCTGGTAAGGTCAGCCTTCTTCTGAGGTCAATAAAATTGGTTCCAATAATCAGTATATCTAAAGGCCTCCATTTAATATTAAAAGGTAGACGTTGTCGGCTTCATTTGACTATTCAGACCCAGAATCCTTTGCTGCACTGGAAACACAGCATGCTAATGAGAACTGTGGGAAAACACGTCTTGAATTGTGAGGCTCTTCTTCAGAGCCAGAATGACCATCTGGAATAATGAGATAGGAGACCAGAAATATGTGGTTTGAAGTCTGAAGCTGAGATCATGGTTGGAAGCAAAGTCCCCAGGTGGAAGTCAAGTACACAGCCATTGAATGACAATTTTAACTTTTCCATTCAAATAAACCAGGAAGGTCTGAAGGTCTGTTTTGATTTACTCTGCTCAACTAAAATTTTAATTTGTAAAAAAAAAAAAAAAAACTGAAAAGCTAAAAGGCAGACTATTAACCTTGAGTGAGAATCTTTCTCTTCCTCACATTTCAAGACATGAAACTTTTTTTTTTTTTTGGTTTATGGATCAATTGCCTCTGGTCCTCTTTAGTTCTTGTCCTGATGCACACTATTACTAATCAAATAGATTCTTAAACATACATGAAAATAAATATTAGTGCGGAAACTTGAAAATAATAATAATCTTGCAGGTAAGTGCTATATATGTCTTCTTTGGTTGTTTTAGCATACATTAGGCAGTGTAGGACCTGCCAGATATGGGGTACATTGGCGTTGTTGGCAGGCTTATGCAATGTATGATCATATAATGTGACTAAATCCCCATGATTTTCATATATAGTACTTAGTTATTTCTCCTCTTGTTTTGCCTATCTTATCTTGTTTTAGTTTGTATACCCAGTCTATGTACAGTCCTGTCCAGTCCTGCCCATGTTATATTGATGTTTCCCTCGTCTCTTGTGTACATGTTCTGGGTTTAGCTTCCTATCCTTCTCTGGTTTTGGGTTCTATTAGTTCTGTCTTGTTTTTCATGTATGGTGCCTATCTCTAGTCTTGCCGTGTTTCTGTACTGGATACATTCTTGCTGCAGAGCCTCCCTATTCAGCTCCTGGGAGGTCTGCTTATGTCCTGCTCCTAGTTCCTGGGATCTGCATATGCTGAATCAGGGTTCTGGTATGTGGCTGCACAAACGCTGGTGCTCAACACCAGGGGGTGTGCGGTTACCCTGCACCAGACCCTGCTAATCCACCTCCACACTGTGAGTCCTACTCTGAACATCAGGCATACTGGGTCCTCGCACCGCCGCCCAGACAGTGTCTGGGTCCCGGGCACCGGACCGCCACCCTGACAGAGAGCCACCTAATGTGTTTCATACCACTAGGGTACGTAGTCATAGTACTATGCAGTATATGATTGTATCACCGAGATCAATAGTGAAAGAACTCATTGTGATGTGAGCCTTAACTACAGCATATGTATATATGCAGTTATTATTTTTAAAATGTTTATGTAGTAACATAGGCTGAAAGCAATTCATGTCCTTCAAGTTTAGCCTTTCACATATCCATTTTTCTGGAGTTGATTAAAAAAAAAAAGAAGAGATTTCCAATTTTGGCACAAATTGGGAAAATATCCATTCTTAAGTTGGCAGTCAGATATCATCTTGGATCAAGAAGCTGACACCCCACATTTTAACTACTATATGCTTCATTATTCAGTTTTTCCAAATGCACATCTATACATTGTTTAAAAATCTGTACAGAATCTGAACAGCCTCTTTAGATAGAGAATTATACATCTTTATTATTCTTACTGTAAAGAACCCTTTCTATTGCTCTATGTGAAATCTCGTCTCTTCAAGTCTAAATAAATGACATCTTGTCCTTTTGACCATCTTATTAATGAACAGATTATCAGAGAGCTGCTTATACTGGCCCTATATATATGTGTATAATGTTTCGTTATTCTCAGCAATGCCCCCTTTCACACCTCTAGATAACACAAACCTGGGCCTCTTTGGTAAAAAGAAAAGTTGGATTGTACGCACAAACTCATATTTTTTCATCTAAAAGCCAAGCGTTAGATATGCACATCTTTCAACCCACAGCATACCAAATACTTAGAACATTGCTGACAGCATCAGGTTTGTTATTAGTGTATAATTCTTTAGAGGTTGATAGCGGATGGTCAATAATGTCAGAAATTCTTGTGTAAAGCCAAGAGGAAAATAAAAAACCTCAGCCAAAATTCAATTATGTGGCCAATCCTATTGCATAGAATATGAGTTCTCAGCTGAAGAAATCTTATGGGGTAGACTCACAGTTTAAGATACAGAAAGTGAAAATCTAAAGTAATTGTCTGAAGTCTCATTCGCAAGCTTCTGAAAGGATTCCAAAGATGGAATATGTGTTGTCACTCTCCAAAATGTTTTAAATCGTTTCCATAATGATGGTCACTTTAGTTTTAAACTCTTTTATTGTCAATGAGTCAAAGAAAAATAATAAGTGAGGCATTCACAAATATCACATTTCAAATTAGCAGGTTGAAGACTTAGCTAAAGGTCTACTTGTCTTGCATGATATTTTTGGAGAAAGTTAAAAGAAGAAAAAGAATTAAAGAACAACATATAAAATACAAAACTGAATTAAGCATGATCTCTTTTACTTATCATATCTGTGAAGGTGGATGAGGTCTGCAGCCTTGATGCAATAAAGTTGATGCAACATCGGGGGGAACAAATTTGGGCTGTTCAGCTTTAAAAGGTTTGTATTATGATACTAAGGGGTTGGCCTGCTATAACCCTGGTTAAGTACAAATCTGGGTCAATAGGGTAAGTTGTTAGATGAGATTGTGAGATGTGACTTTGCCTACTCCCCATGTCACAGCCAGTGGGGAAAGCAAAATGGTGATAATAGACCAATGGAACCCTTGTGCATTTCAATAATTGGAGCAATAGTAGAAAGCATACTAATAATTAACATGAATGCACTTGGGAGCACTTGGTGATGGGGTATTAGATCACTCCGAGTTTCTTTGCTCATGGCCAAGATGGTGTCCAGTCCACTTGAGTCTGTCCCAGCCCGGGACCTTTTATTATTATTATTATTATTGCCATTTATATAGCGCCAACAGATTCCGTAGCACTTTACAATATTATGAAAGGGGATTTAACTATAAATAGGACAATTACAAATAAACTTACAGGAACAATAGTTGTTCTTCTACCCCACAGGTGTGCTCTAGAGTACAATCCCGGTGGTGGCAGGGAGTGAAACTGTCGGGGTAAAAGCTTTGGGGGGGGGGGGCAAAGTATGGTCTTTCTAGGCCGTTACCAGAACATCTCTGCACTATGCTTCTGTGTCTGCGTCCGCTCTCATTGACTCCTTTCAATGATGGTCACTTTAATTGCAGCTGATCTTATTCAAGTAGCTATGCTTTTGTTATATATTTTGTTTAATCTCCACCTGTGGGTTTTACCACTTTTGATTTATGGATCTTGGCCACATGAATTTAAGATACATACCCCTCCCTGGTGATGTCAGCACAACAGGAGACCCGCTGGAAGGGATTAGAAGATAATGTGAACAGACCAGGGGCCGTGTTTATCTACTTAGCCCTAACTCTACTTTTCAGATTTGACTGGGTCCCTTCCATGCGATGAATAGGGAGGGACATCAAACCATTTAACAAAGTACGTTTTTCTGGGAAGAATTAGAAATATCAGCCCGTGTCTAAAACATGAAGCATGGAGCAGATGCTATAGTTTATAGAAAAGAAAATAGTAAATATAGAGAGTGTAATGCTTAAATTAGGATTGTGCATGGCTATTACCGGGGTGATGGTGTTCATAGTGTTTTCTATTGTCCCCGTCTCCCCCACCCACGCACCTTTTCCAATTTAATTCAATTTTGGATATAATAAAGTAACTGTCTTTTTGCACAAAAGTAATGACTGAGTCCTCATCACTGTTCCTATCGGGGAAGAATCTGTTTAGGCTTGGAGTATTTTAATTACATCATTTAAAATCAAACAATGGGTAAACTCTAAAGGAAACATGTATCCACACTTGCAGCGTTTTATGGGAGTCTTGGCTGTGGGTGCCAAGAAGGCCCTGAATTTTGTGAAACTGACCAAAACCTTTTGGCACCATAACTATAACAGCACTAATCCTATTATTACTATTTCAATAAGCTGTAGTGGTTTTGATGATTAGAGCGTCTCTTTAAGAGTGAGTACGGAATGTAGCCAACAACTGCTTAACCTGCCCTTTGTAGTATGGTATTTATGTTAAATCTGGTGTTTCCATCTTGCGCACTGCAGGTTTCTGCATCCCAATAACCTGACATCACTGAACATGCTGTAGAGTAACAAAATAAAGTCATAAAGTTGTATGATGAGCACAGAGGGAGGAAGTCCGATAGTTTGAATCTCTTATTTCTGCTTTGAAGCCTGGCAATGGGGCATAAAAAGAAAGAATAAAAAAAGAGGAAACACAATATCAAGCTCACTCTTGCTCAGTGACAGATACCTTGGCTGTCAGATGCTTGTGAACTGTAGGGATATGTCTGACAGAACGTTTTCTTTTAGGCCTCTTGTGCGTCATGGGAATTGCAATTTGCAAACATCTAGGGTGTTAAGGTTAACCATTAGTCATACAGTCTGAAAATATTACCGTCCTGTAAAGCAAGGTAACTTCAACCAAGGATTAATCTAATATTTAGGGATTTATTCACCGAATAATGAATTATACCGAATTGAAATTTGAATGCAAAAATAGCAGATATGAAAAAAAAAAATCTGCAACTCGCCTGTAGTCACAATTTGACTAAGTTAAAGAAACACTATAGTGTTAGGAATACAAAGATGTCCACTCTGCCCCCGGGGCTCCCCTCTTCCCATCCATGAAAGGGTTGAAAACCCTTTCAGTCACTTACCTGATTCCAGTGCCGAGGTCCCTCAATGTTGGGTTGTGCTCCTCCTTCGGTGACATTAGCCAATAAGATGGACCTAATGGGTCTTGATGCTGGATCTACTCATGTAACGCGTGAGGCTGTCCAGCGTCATTTCACGGAGTCTGACTCAGTGAAACTGCAGGAAGCACCTCTAATGGCTGTCTAGTGGCTGTCTGGTAGACACCTATTATTATTATTATTATTATATTATTTATATAGTGCCAGCTAATTCCATAGCACTAGAGGCAGTCTTAGCATTGCAATGTAAACATTGCAATTTCTGTTTTACATTGCAGGACTAAGGGGGGGGGGGAGGAGACCACCTCAGTGAGATGAATGTTTGTAGTGTCCCTTTAACCTAGATTTTGTTATTCTGGTTTTCTGCTTCAATTCAGTTAATTTAGCTAATAAACCCCCAGATGTTCACTGGGTTTTTTAGTAAAGTGGAAAGTGGAAAAGTCATGTATTTAAGTGAATTTTAAATTTTAGACTACTAAAATAGCAGAACTGGGAAAATTTTCCAAGTCAACTAAGTTTCCAATTCTGACTTTGGCCTATCGTTTGAAGTTAACTGTGAACTTTGGACAATCCACAGTTAACTTAATTACCCTGTCAGTGTTAAAGGGACACTATAGTCACCAGAACAACTACAGCTTAATGTAGTTTTTCTCGTGAGTGTAATAGTTCCCTTCAGGCTTTTTCATGCAAACACTGCCTCTAGGGACACCTCCAAGTGGCCACTCCTTAGATGGCCACTGGAGGTGCTTCCTGGGTCAGCGCTGCCGAAAAAGCAGCCCTGATGTTCAGTGTCCCCACGTTCTGCATGAAGACGCTGAATTTTCCTCATAGAGATGCCATGATTTAATGCATCTCTATGAGGAGGTCCTGATCGGCCAAACCGGCATTTAGCCCCGCCCCGTGCTGATTTTAGCCAATCCATTTTGATGATGTCACAGAGGAGGCGGAGCCAGCGCCAAAGGAGCCAATAAGGTGAGTTTTAAACTTTTATATGGGGGCTAAGGGGAGGCAAGCCATCTAAATGGTGGGTTAAACTCTATAGGGTCATAAATACATGTTTGTGTTAGTGACACTATAGTGAGCCTTTAAGAACAACATTTCGATAGCATAAATAGGTAAAGGGACACTCCAAGCAACACTGTGGATTGTCCAAAGTTCACCTTCTAAAGCAAGCATGTCAAACTCACGGCCGCCTGTGGCCCACAAGGACCATCTTTGCGGCTGGCGAGCCGCGAGTGCATGCTGGTGTTATAGCAGAGTAGGCACGTGCTTTCCCCATATTGCAGGTGCCTAATCTGCTAACACTTACCAGGCCGGGGAGAAGGGCCGCGAGGGAGCTCAGTGTTCCAGCTCCTCACTGCTCCCTCGCGCGTGCCAACTGAAGTGAAGCCGGGCGCCGGAATATGATGTCATATTCCGGCACCCGGCATCACTAAACCGCACAAGGGAGCAGTGAGGAGCAGGAAGGATGCCAGGGAGATGCCCCACATCGGCTCCAAGGTAAGGAGCAATAATGAAAAGTATGTGTGTGTAAGTGTGTGAGTGTGTCTGTCAGCAAGTATGTGTGTGTGTGTGTCTGTCAGTGAGTATGTGTGTCTGTGTCAGTGTGTGTGTCTGTCAGTGAGTGTGTGTGTGTGTGTGTGTCAGTGTGACTGCATGTGTGTCTGTCTGTCTGTGTGTATGTGTCTGTGTGTGTCTGTCTGTGTGTGTGTGTGTCTGTCAGTGAGTATGTGTGTCTGTCAGCAAGTATGTGTGGGTCTGTCAGCGTGTGTGTCTATCAGCAAGTATGTGTGTGTGTCTGTCAGTGAGTGTGTGTGTGTGTTTGTCTGTGTGTGTGTCTGTCAGTGAGTATGTATGTGTGTCTGTCAGTGAGTGTGTGTGTGTCTGTATGTGTGTGTGTGTGTGTCTGTCAGTGTGTGTGTGTCTGTCAGTGAGTATGTGTGTGTGCGGCCCACATAAACTTAAACCTTGTTTATGTGGCTCGTGCCACACTTTGAGTTTGACATGATTGTTCTACAGTTATACTCCCCAGTGTGCTGGATTTTAAATTGCTCTTCTTTCAGACTCGCTTTGCTATGTTTTATTATTATTATTATTATTATTTTTGCCATTTATATAGCGCCAACAGATTCCTTGGCGCTTTACAATATTATGAGAGGGGGGATTTAACTATAAATTGGACAATTACAAGAAAACTTACAGGACCGATAGGCTGAAAAGGGCCCTGCTCAAACGAGCTTACAGTCTATCCTTGTGGCATTTAGAGAATTAATATATTATTTTATCTTGTAGTTTTCACATCCTGCATTTCCACAAATAGCCTCCCTTGTTTTATTTAAATTTTTTTTTATTTATTTAGCCGGTCATACAATTGTTGTGTTTGATTTATAAGACATAAAGAGCTCCCTGCCTGCCATCTGTTTGGGGCTAAATATGGCTTTTGGAAACTTTCTGCACTTTGTGTACATATATTCTCATTGATAAGCGTCACTGGTCTGACATTTCATTCATATCTTCACACAGATTCTCCTCCACGGCCAACTGCACCTTCCGCCCTCTCTAGATAAACATATTACAAGATGACACATGAATGAAAGTCATCTGAGCGTCTCCGTGTGACTTGCAGCTTCACGATTCCGATTTAAAGGCCTGGATAAATTCAAAAATACTTTAGTAAAACAATACTAACCTTAGAAATACTCTGATATAAACTTCCTTACATTCCTTATTTCTATCAAACACTGGTCCTTTATGTCAATTCTAGCCCAACCCCCCTGGGAAAAGCACGACCTAAGATACTCAGTTGCAAATATCTTTGAAATCTGTCCGATACCGCTTCGCAGAATGAATCTAACACTCTGGATCTTCTTCCAAAACAATCTAATTTAGCATTAGCTAGATCACAAGTTCTCTGGCTACAGTTTGGCTGAACTGACAGATTGAGCTGTTAATAGGTGACTTGATTTTGCAAAAAGGCAAAGAAGACAAATTGCATAATAAAACAAGACAATTTCAGGTGATGGTTGAAGCTCACAATTTATATGCCGGATTTGGCCTAGGCAGGTGCCCACGGACACCTGTCTACATTTTTAACCTTTTAGGTATATTTGAATATATTTTTAATTTTCCTGTAAAATATTTGCACTTTTTATTTGGAGAAGGAGGGAGGAGATATCTCTCAACTTGTTTTTCTGTGTCTTCTAAAACAAGGAGCAAGTAACAGAGCTTTGGATTGGGTAGTAGGGACACCAGAGAATTTTACTTCTATTAATGTAACTCTGTCTTCGTATCCCATTGGTCTTGACGGAGCTCCAGAGGCTGAGAAGCTTGACGATGTTCAACTCAGCCACGTAACACAAAGTTGGCGTTTCCCCTTTTCTTAACCCCTTAAGGACCAAACTTCTGGAATAAAAGGGAATCATGACATGTCATGTGTCCTTAAGGGGTTAAAGTGACCTTGTCACCCCAAAAATGGCACTATTTAGATACAGCACAATGCCCGGACTCAGTGTTTTCACAGCTGAAATATTCAGGTACATGTGAAAAGATATTTTGTGCTTGAAAAAACCCACCATGAATGGTTACTATGCAGGGTACAGCCAACAGAAGAATAAGGAAAGTATAGAAGATACTGCCTATTGGTCTGTATGTAAGAAGACTATCAGGATTATTTACTAAAGTATGAATTGTCGGGAATTTAAGGTGAATTTTAAACGGTATGCCAAAGTCACCGAAGGATTCTCCAAGTCAGCATTTTTTTCTTTCTGGCTATTTTAACCTAACCTTTGAATTTCTTTGTAAATTCACTTTGAATTCCTGACAATTCACAATGTGCAAAGTGCAAAATTCTAAGTCAGCTATCCCTCCAGATTGTCTTAAATTTGAAATCCACTTTGAACACACTTTCAATTCTCACTTTATTGAATAGCCCTGTATGTGAATAACTTTATATGTCTGCAACAAGGGGTATGCATCCTTTACACTGTGTGTGTTAAATTTAGCACTCTGTGGAAACGGCTCTGACCAAAGTTTCCAACTATCTGATCTACTCGTTGCAAAATCTCATGGACACTATTCTATCCTAATTCTCCTTGACCTTTCCACTGCTTTTGACACTGTTAATCTCACACTCCGTAATCTCGGTCCAGGAGATATTGCTCTCTCCTGGTGCTCCACCTACCTCTTCCAGCGCTCTTTCAGTGTTTCTTTCTCTGGCTCTGCCTCTTCCCCCCAACCCCTCTCTTTTTTGGTGTCCCCCAAGTTTCTGTCCGTGGTCCTCTCCATCTATACTGCCTCCCTTGGTAAACTCATCAGCTCCTTTGGCTTCCAATATCACTTCTATGACACGCAAATCTATCTGTCCTCCCCTGTTCTCTCCCTGCCCCTCTTGACTAGTGTCTCTGACTGCCTCTATGCTATTTCTAACTGGATGGCTGCCCACTTCCTTAAGCTGAAATTGTCAAAAACAACTTCTGGTCTTTCCTCCCTCAGGTGTTGCTACTCCTGTGTCTGTCTCCCTCCACGTTAATGGTGCTACCCTCAGCTCCACCACGCAGGCTTGCTGCCTTGGTGTTCTCTTTGATTCTGACCTCTCCTTCACCCCTCATGTCCAGTCTATCGCCAAATCCTGCCGCTTCCACCTCAAAAACATTGCGCGTATCCGACCCTACTTAATGCCAGATGCGGCTAAGGCGCTGGTCCATGCGACTGTCCTCACCCGCCTTGACTACTGCAATCCGCTTCTCAGTCATCTTATCTGCTCCCAACTTGCCCCATTGCCGTCTATAATGAATGCGGCGGTGATGCTCATCTTCCTGTCCACCCGCACCTCCCACACCTCACCCTTCTGTCACTCCCTACATTGGCTTCCTGTGGAGTCCGACGTGCAGAGTTATACACTCACCCTTGCAAATAAACACAGACCAAGGTGACCAGGTAAAAAGCCACCTGGGCTGTGAGTCTGTGCACGGGGGCTGTGCAGGAATATAGCTCCAAGTCTCAGTACAGGCAAGGACAAGCAGAAGAATAGTCGTGGAAAGTCAGGGAAAGCCAGATGTCAGAGTAAACGATGAGATAAGCCAAGGTCAGGAGCTGTCTGGAGAACACTGGATAAAGATACACAATAACAGGAACCAGAGTCAATGAAGTGACACTGCCCTAAGAGAGAGGCAGTGTTTTATACCTGGCTAATTAGCGATATGCTTCAGGTGGACCGAGATTGATAGGAGCAGCCACAGGAAAAGTCCAGCCCCCAGTGCTGGAGACAAGGCAAAGATAAACATCAGGCTGAAGCAAGAACAGAAATGAGGCTCAGAGGCAAAACAGCAGGCCCAGGACACAGAAGGATCCAGGTTCATATCCCCTGTTGGGCACTTTTGGGGCAACCAGGTCTGGCTGTCTGGATATCACGGTGAGAACTGTGACAGTATCCTCCCTAATACTCAAGTATGTCCCATCTAGGCCCCTACGCTCTGCCATAGACCTACGTCTATCCTCTGTTTGTACTTCCACCTCTGCTCGCCTTCAAGACTTCTCTAGGGCTGCGCCATTTCTGTGGAACTCCCTTCCCTTCTTAGTTAGACTTTCACCCAGTCTCCATTCCTTAAAAAAATCATTAAAAACCCACTTTTTCACAATAGCATATCAGCTAAACTGTTAATGGCTCCCAACGTATTCATCTCCTGCAATTGTCAAAAAACAAAACAAAAAAAAAACACACTAAGTCAAAAGTGAACACTATTCTACCAATCAACTTCCCTAATACTTCCCTTACCTTTTTGTGTCACTTTACCCCACTCCCTCTAGCATGTAAGCTCATTGAGCAGGGCCCTCAACCCCTCTGTTCCTGTGCATCAAACTTGTCTGGTTACAACTACACGCCTGTTAGTCCATCCATTGTAAAGCGCTGCAGAATTTGTTGGCGCTATAGAAATATAATAATAATAATGTCCTTTAGATATAGTTGGACTACAACTCCCGTTATAATCTGTCAGCCTGTAGCAGATCCACCGGTTTTATAGCAAGCACCCCATTTTTTTTTACCATTCACAAACAGTCTTTGAAAGTGCACCCCATTTCCTCGCAAACATTAGTGGTGTCAACAATCGGACCTTTAAAAACCCCAAAACCTTGCAGGCGTTACTGTAAAACTGCTGTAACTGCAGCAGTCATTGCCACCAGTTCTCTTGCAAGGACATTCTTCCTTCTAATAGAGGTTCTTCAGGATTTAGGAGTGGTTTCCAAAACTTCCAGACGAATCTTTGAAAGCGTTCCATAGAATGTCAGAGGAAGCCAGAGAGTCTCCCACACACTTGGAGCAGAGGATAACACTGACCTTCTATCCAGCCGCTGAGCAAACTTCAGATCAGTTTCACATGTTGCTTTCTAAGTAAAATAGTTTGCATGAGAGAGAAATGCATTTTCAAGCAGATCTGGCTCGCTTTCAGAGCCGTATTATTTTCTCTTCCTCCGGCCTGCATCCTGTGTGTAGTTACCTCACCGCATAGCTAACGCATAGTCAGGCAGTGTTAACTTATTCGTGACTGCGCAGTAGTATTTTAGTGATCACGTCTTCTGCATCATCGTGAGGTCACACAATCCCGATGACGTCACAGTAAAAGGCATTACCTACTAACTTCTATGATAAATGTTTTGTTTATATTTCCAGTTACTGCATTTATAGAAAGATGAACACAATATTTTAATGTAGATTAGAGTATTAGTCCAGTAAAACATGATGCTAAGTATTTCAGTATTAAATGATACTTTCTTTTTATTGGGCTAACATAATATTTTAAAAAAAATCTTTTGAGAGTTTTCCTCTCCTCCTCAGGTCTGACTGGGACAATACTGATGAATATGATAAAGTTTAACACATGTTTAACAATGTTTACATTGTAAGAAAGGAGACTGTAGTCACGAAATTATAATTGTTATTTACGGGACTACAGATTCTCTTTAAGATATTTTCTCAAGGTTCCACTTTGAGAGATTAGAGTTTATTTTGTATAGACATATGATAGAGACTATGGCAACGATAAAAACATTTTTATTTCTTTATATATAGATTTGTCACTTTTCTTAGGAAATGCTGTTACTCCACTTTCCTGTTGGTTTTTCCAAGTTAAAACAGAAAGTCAAACGAGATAACAGCATAGGATGTTTGAAAACATTTTGAAGCATCAGAACCCCTGCTTACTGTAGTAGTCACCTTAAAATACAGGATATGCACAGCAGATGTATTAACACAACACTAACACTATTAACACTATTAACACAACCAAGGCTTCATTTTGGGGATCACAGATGGCCCTTGTAGTCATCACTCTATTAATGGGACACTACAGTCAACAGAACAACTACAGCTAATTGAATTTGCTCTGGTGAGTAGAATCATTACCTTCAGGCTTTTTGCTGTAAACACTGTCTTTTCAGAGAAACAGCCTAGTGATATCTTCACTGGATACTCCTCAGATGGCTGTTAGAGATCCTTCCTGGGTCATGGCTGCCTAAAATGCATCCAAACATTCAGTATCTCCTCCCTCTGCATGCAGACACTGAACTTTCCTCATAGAGATTCATTGATTGAATTCATCTGATCAGGAGATGCTGATTGGCCAGGGCTTTGTTTGAATTGTGCTGACTCTGCCCCTGATCTGCCTCTTTGTCAGTCTCAGCCAATCCTCTGATGATGCCGGCAGGCAGTGGGCAGGTCTAAAGGAAACCGGGACAAACTATGCAGCTGCAGGCTTGAATTCAAGTAAGATTTTACTTTATTTTTAGAGGCACGAGGGTACCAGGGTGGCTAGATGGTGGTTTTAACACTATAGGGTCAGGAATACATGTTTGTGTTCCTGACCCTATAGTGTTCCTTTAAGGTTAATGGAACGGATTAAAAATGTGAGATCCACAGGAACATCTAGGAAGTTGGAACCAAGATAGAGATATGACATTTTTGGCTCTTCTTGCAAAGAGCCGGGTAGATTTATTAATTAATGAATTTATGTGTTTAATTGTGGTCCTACTGGCACAAAGGGTGGAGCTAATAAGATAGCAAGTATTTTAGGAATCTGAATTTTTTTTGTTTTTTCCTTATGAGTAACCTTTTTTATTCATGCATAAAGGTTGTTTTTTAAGAGTAATGGGAAAGCAAAATTGGAAATTAAAGGAATACTCTAGTGCCAGGAATTCAAAGCTGTATTCATGGCACTCTGCCTCCCCCGTCTCTCACGCCCTCCCACAAGCTGCGGTGAATAAAAGGTTAAAAATTCTTTATTTACTTACCTGATCCCAGCTCTGATGTCCGTGCAAGTGCCACGTGCATTATGCCCACCCCCTAGGAAAGCATTGAATCAATGCTTTGCTATGGGGAAATTGATGACTCTGGATGTCCTCATGCAGAGCGTGAAGCGCACCCAGTGGCTGTCTGGAAGACAGCAACTGGAGGCAGACTTAGTGCTGCAATGTAAACGTTGCTGTTTCTCTGGAACTGCAATGTTAACCATTTCAGCACTAAGGGCAAAATGGGCACTGTACCCAGATCACTTCAATGAGCTGAAGTGGTCTGGGTGCCTATAGTGTCCCTTTAAGCATACTGGATGTTTCATCAGTTACTAATGACAAAAGCACAATGCTAACATTTGGTATGGGAATCCTTCATATATTGTATCCACGCAAAAACAAGAATCAGTCAGTGAGTTAACCGGCGAGGGAGAGTAAGTGTCTGAAAAGACTGGCACTCATCATACTGAATAATACACGTTCTAAACAGGAGAAACGGCACGTGTATTAAAATGTAAATCCCATGTTTTCAAACTTCCACTAGACTATTTATAAAAGTAGAGCAGAGCAGCAAAATATTTGCATAAAAATGTTTAGAACCACTAAACGTAACTTGAAACGTAATTTCAGGACCAGCAAATCATCAGTCTGTTTTGACCGAATTGATTAATCCGAAAAAAAATATAGTCCGGTCGTCCAAAATGTATTTATAGGGTATTTTGGTTACGGCAAACGATTCGGACAAACCAAAAGGTCATGAAAATGGACCAACCAATATACTGTAAAATATATTTATAATAAAAAATACCATAAAAATGATATCATGACCATTATAATTCTAATTTGTTTGAAACCAAACGCACAAGTCTTTTAAGGAATACCTTTATTCTATTTCAAAAGCAGAAATGTTTTTATGAGGCCACTGAATTCAAGCGTCAGCTGAAAACTAGTTCAGAAAATCAATTTTTTGCTGTTTGAAATGTAATCACGTTTTCACAAGTTTCATTATGTCACAAGATTTTTTTTCTCTTCTTATTTAATGTTCTCATCCCTGTCACGTCTTTGGGATATTCAAAATTAAGACAGACATGGCTGTTTAAGATGAGACCACGGTAATAGTGAGGGTTGGCAATTATGATTCAATTCTTTTAAATTCTCATCCTTTAGGTCAACAATATATTCATTTTTGAGTCTCAGCAGAATAAAGTAATGTTTGTTTGCCAGTGCATTATCCAACAGTATTAACCACTAGAGAACTTTAAATTGGTTTTGTTTTTCTTTTAAGAATATATGTTGTTCCATTTTAAGAATTTAAGAGAAAAATTACAAATACTGACACTTTGTAAAGGAATTCTTAAATTTCCATCAGTGCTTCCTTTTTGTTGTTTTGTTTGTGTTTGTTGTTTTGATTTTTTTTTGGGGGGGGGTGGGGGGGGTTCTTTCTACACTTGCTTCTCTGTTGTTTAACATTTTCAGGGATCTAAGCTTGCAATTATTTATAACTATTACCAAAAGAATAACGAGAAAGTGAAAAATACAATTTAACATTTAAATTCATTGAGTATTTGGCAGACTCAGAAGGCGCAATTAAGAGACATAATGTCAATTAAAAATATTCATTTTTGGCGCATGCAGACTCTCCCATACTTATTTGATTTTTATGTATCTCTGAGCACTTAATGCTCCAATCTATAATTTTTGCCTCAGAAGAGGATTTCATTGAGTATGGAATAAGCACCAATTAGTCATATTATAAGCAGCTGCTTCACAGAGTAACTGTCAATAAGAGTCACACAAACCATCCAGTGACTCTGGGACAGAATTGATCAGGGGAGTAGAAGCTAGATTGTACACGAGCTTTAAAAACAATTATCAGAGGCATAAAGCAGCTTGAGTCCTCGGAAAAGCAGATTCATATTGACTCTAGGATCTTTCTTCAGAAAGAGGTCAATAAGAGGCATTAAATATATTAAATTACTGTGTTTTTCAATCATCATCTTAACAAGTATCAAAGCCCAAAAAATCATGGCCTGTTATATACAGTGGACACATTGGCCTCGTTACGTTGTTACAGAAGTGACTTTGGAACTATATTCACTGTTACAAAAAGTCATAGACATGGGCTACTAAACTGGTTCATGGAGGGCTAGTAAACTGGTTCATGGATTGCAGGATAAAACTTACCAGGAAAGGTTAAAGGAACTTAACATGTATAGCTTGGAGGAAGACGAGACGGGGGGATATGATAGAAACATTTAAAGGACCACTATAGGCACCCAGACCACTTCAGCTTAATGAAGTGGTCTGGGTGCCAGGTCCAGATAGGATTAACCTTTTTTTCTGTAAACATAGCAGTTTCAGAGAAACTGCTATGTTTATATTAGGGTTAATCCAGCCTCTAGTGGCTGTCTCACTGACAGCCGCTAGAGGGCTTCCGCGCTTCTCACTGTGATTTTCACAGTGAGAAGACGCTTGCGTCCATAGGAAAGCATTCAGAATGCTTTCCTATGGACTGGCTGAATGCACACGCGGCTCTTGTCGTGCATGCGCATTCAGCCGAAGATGAGGAGAGAGGGCGGAGAGGAGGAGCAGAGCTCCCCGCCCGGCGCTGGAGAAAGAGGTAAGTTTACCCCTTCCTCTCCATCCAGCCCGGCGGCAGGGGGACCCTGAGGGTGGGGGCACATAAAGGGAATCAACACAGTAAAGGAGGAGACTATATTTAAAAGAAGAAAAACTACCACAACAAGAGAACATAGTCTTAAATTAGAGGGACAAAGGCTTAAAAATAATATCAGGAAGTATTACTTTACTGAGAGGGTAGTGGATGCATGGAATAGCCTTCCAGCTGAAGTGGTAGAGGTTAACACAGTAAAGGAGTTTAAGCATGCGTGGGATAGGCATAAGGCTATCCTAACTATAAGATAAGGCTAGGGAGTAATGAAAGTATTTAGAAAATTGGGCAGACTAGATGGGCCAAATGGTTCTTATCTGCCGTCACATTCTATGTTTCTATATATGTCAGAAACTAAAAGGAAAAGCATCCTTTACTCATGACGCTTCCTTTTCAATCAACTCTATAACTTTCTTCAAGCTTTTCAACAAACAGAACTGTTCTTGCAAAACGCCCCAATATTACCCTCGGGCTCCTCTCTTTCCTCTGAGACTGATTCAGATAATTAGTTTCCCTCCCCTTGTGATTACAGATGCCCTTCCTAAATCTTTCACCAGGCCTCCAGACTGCACACATATCCTCGGTGCGGGCAAGGCTCCGTGTGCGGACCATGTTCTAGGTGGAGGATATCGTGGTGAAGTGTCTGCTGATTCCGAAGACAGCTTCCTTATTTCCTGTTGTGTCATTTACTCTGCACTCATCCTATTGGGGACAAAGGGAACTAAAATAGAGGCACGGAAAGAGGTTAACGCCTTTCCCAAAACATTTTCAAGGAAAAAAAAAAGAAACAAAAAAAAAACAAAACAAAGGAACGTGTGCTTAGGAAAAGATATAGAGTCTTAAAAGTCACTTGGCAGCTGCCATTTCTATTTCAGGGACACACTGACAATTTGCTAAAACTTAGAATTCTATCAATCGTAGAATCATGAGTCTGCAGCAACCAGTATTTAAGGGGTTCTGTGCCCAAAAAGTTCCCCCTTTTTGTCACAACAGCTCCGTTGTGAAATATGTTTGTTGTTGTTTTTTAATGTAACAATAAAGTAAAATAAAGTTTTCCAACTTTTTTGTGGAAGTGAATTTTCTATGCTTGGTTGTTGTCTATGTCTCTGTAGATTATTTCAGAAGTTTTTGAAAGTTGTGGCGCTGTACAAGAGGCGTACCTAGGTTATATGATTGAAATGCATTTTGGCACCCCACCCCCAAACTGTAAAAAAAAAAAAAGTTGTGTCTCATTCTGCACCCCTCGAATCCCCTTTTGTTAGGTAAAATTACATGCACATACTCACATTCATATACACACGCATTCATAAACACAAATTCTTATATTCATATGCAATACAACACTGCGCTTTACGGAACTTTCCACGATCCCATGCCATGAATCAAAGAGAAAAATTCTGAGAACAAGGCAGAGCTGCAGAGGAAAAATAAAACAACTTAATTTTTGTAGTGTAGTAAGTTCCCTTGTCTGAATGAGCAAAATACTTAAAAAACGCAACACGTTTTTTGATACCACTGTAATGTTTTACTTATAAGTGTTTGTGCAAAAGAAAAAATCAATAAAAATTGGACTCAAAGAAGAAAAAAAAAAACATCAATACCTATACATAATTAAGAATTAATTTTGGGCTTTACAAAATCCACCAGCCTAAATTCTCTATGCCAAGAAACGTCCTTTTGATCCCTGGTTTAATTTCCATCCAGCCATAAGTGCTACACTTAGAGTAGTTGGCTTTGGGAAGGTAAATCCATATATCAGTATTTCCTCCGGGCATAGTTAGTCCCCGTTATCATGTTTTGGAACTCTGCCAGTCCATTTTGTTGGATGGGGTACAAGCCAAAGGGAGGGAAATAGGTTGTTGAATGAATGACTGGTGTTAGTCTCTTCCACTTCCTTTTGGTTAGTTCCTCTAGCCATCAGAGGTCATATTTATGGGTCAAAAAAACCGACAGTCGCTTTATTTACTGCAAGAATTTATCAATGGAAGCGACTGTAAATGTGGCTTACAATTTGGATTTCTTATTAATTCCTGTGATACGTTCTACCTCCTATCTGCTGCACAATGCTGTTTAGGTCAAACACACCATCACAAGGGGTCTAACACAGTCATTCCGTGAGAGGTGTGCACTTTTCTCTAGTGCATGCATCTCTCTCTCTCTTAAAACGAGAGGTCCTAGGTCCAGGGGGTAAATGTAACATCTGACTGCCTCCGTTCTTTGAGACTTTAACTAGTAGAAGGCATGGAGGCAGTTCTCTGGTAGCACACATTTCCTCACAAAAATTCCCTTGTCTATATTTACTGTAAAAATAAGCCAGATGGGGCCTGCCTCTTAAAAAATATTTGAATTATTGTCCTTTGCTTTCTACACGCTTGTTTTCACCGGCAAAGATTTGCCTATTTTATTTATTTTTTGTATCATTTTTTATTTTATTATTGAGCCATTGTTTCCTTTTTTTTTTTTTTTCATAAAACACTGGTTTTGGTTAGAGTAACCCTTGCTGGTCTACCTCCACCCACCGAATAAAAAAAAAAAAAGAAGCTAAATACTCACATCAATCCAGCGACAAGGCCAAGTTCTCGTTAAAGTCCGATCCCCCATGATTGACATCACTCCCCTTTGCCGACATGGTCATCACGGGGGGGCACCATTGACTGTCTGGCACTAACATGCTCTTTACTGAGAGAGTTATTCACTAAATTGTTCAGGAATTGAACATTTTAGACTGAAGTAAATGAGTTAAAAAAAATTCCCATGGTATTTTCTTAGTTTGGCTATTTTGGTGTAAATATTAGCACTCCTCGTTGTGGAAGACCTTCCCTATCACCATGGTGACTGTTCCACCATTTTTTATTCCGGTATAAATATCGAGGCGACAGAACAAAGAAATGTGGACATCAGGCAGAACATTAACCCCAAACTCATCATAAACAGAGGAAAGGTTAGAGCTTGCTTGCTGTTACCCATTCATAAGAGACATAGACACATGAGATCTGTATGGAACCTATTTATTTATTTACTTATTTTGTTTTGACCCTGTGGCAAATACATGGGGCATGTTCTCAATTTCCCTTTTTAAAGATTTCTTTGCTTTTTGCTTGATTTAGATGTAAATATGCAAACAATTATATTATGTCTATTGGATACATATGGCGCAGATTGTTTCCTTCGCGAAGAAAATGGTCACCTTTTAAAAAAACAAACAAATAAGAATGTGAAAAATGAATGGGAACCTAATGAAACTTATAGTGAGGTTTCAGGCACAATCTGATTTCTAATGAATTGCTTACTGATGCCCAGCTTGCATTAATGGGTTAGTTATTTTGTTATGTCTATGCGTTGTTTTTAAGTACTCTTTGATATCCTCTACTATTTGTATTAAATGAATTGCCATTTTTAAACAATAATAAGTGTTTCTACCTAAAAGGTGCAATCTTAACACCATAACCACTTCATCTAGTTGAACAGGTTTGGATCCTACAGATCCCCTGGCATGTTCCCACTGTTCAGAGTCAATCTGGTCCCATATGGCTTGATAATGAATGATGGTTTCTTGAGTGTCTATGGCTGTGCCACCTACTGGAGTTATGGCTAAGATAAAGTATTACTCCACATTAGCCATATCAATTTATACCAGTAACGGGCGGCAGTGGCAGGCTCAGAATGCTCATCTGAAGAATCTATCATCACCACCCATCATAGCAGAGATGGCCAGAACTCTGGCAACCTGGAAACTCTTTTAGTGTCAAAATTATCAAAAAATAGTTTTCTCCGGGGCGGGGCCTGACCAGCATGGCGACTAAACGTGTTTCTGGGGAGCTCCCTGAGACACACTGAATTTCTGACCTAATTCAGCAACTATTTCTAAACATGATACTTACTCTTAGTCTTTCGACATGACAGAGAGATCGGGGAATATGCCCTACAGCACTCTCAAGCAATCTAGTAGCCAAAGTAACAAAAAGGCTCTCATGACCCACCGCGTAGCAGCAGTACTTCAGAAGCCAACACTACCATCAAAGGTATCCCTAAGATGGCGGACGCTGCAGATATCCTCACCCAGGGAGGAGTGATGACCACTACTCTCCAGCGTCCTCTTCGTTATGGAAGAAGCTAAAGGCGAAGCAGTTAATACACAGGACCGTGATGACTCCCACACAACCAGCCTGTCACACATCAAGCAGCCCAGCAGCACTCGCCAGAGGCCCGCTACACCTGAGATGGCGGAGGCTGCATCCACGCACCGCAAAACAAGACAGGCAACGAGCAGGTAAGCGGTGAGCTGGAAAGCTACACAGCTATACAGCTCCTGTGCACACACGGGAGACAAACGGAGAGCTGAGGAGAAGGGAGGAAAGCACCTACACATGCCAGATCAGCACTCACATCGACTGCGGAGATCTGGCCCCCCTCGCCCTCAGAGAGACCGGTCTGAACCGGAGCTTTCCCCCATATGCTGCCAGATACACAGCACTGGTGGATCGTCACAGTCCTCTCCTTTTCCTGGGCCGAATGAGGAAGGTGCAGGGGATGGAAGCAGAGTCCGGTACCGAGTTGTCCTATCTAATTTAGACTCTAAGTGGCATAGGCCGAATGACCTAGGGAGACTCCTTACACATCCAGGGTACTGTGATTAAGCTAGTTATATACTGCTAGCATGATATATTCACTTGTTTTCTAATAAGCATAGTTGACCAAGCATTTCCTTCACACATTTAAAAGTGCTTAGTAAACACCTTGTCTAGACTGTTATTCGTGATTTTTTACTTAGATATGGCTATGTTTCCTAGACATGTCTACCTAGCCTAATGTTTACATTACCAAAAATATGTGCTGCACTATCACAATGCCAAGTAACATTCAGATCTATTATGTCTATGGTTTGATGTATGTTGTATTCCTCTATTAATTGATTTTCTTGTGCTTGCTGTTGTGGCATTGCAAGATTCTTTGTAACCCTTTTGCACAGCAAAAATAAAGAATTTAAAAAAAAGTTTTTTCTGCACAATGTGACGGAGCCAGGGGACCACTTCAATGAGATGATGTGGTTATAGTGCCTAGAGTGTCCCATTAAAAGTTAAGTGAATAGGGAGGAGAAAGCTCCTTCTCCCTGCTCCTTCTGGTGGTTGGATGAAAGAAAAGGATTAAATGGTTAATTCCACTAGGGATGTACATGAGAAAAATATTCGGTTCGGTTCGGCATTGCGAAATTCTGGACTTCAGCACTTCGGGACTTCTGCACTTCGGTTCGGCACTTCGGGTAAGTGTAGGGTTAGGGGTGAGGTTAGGGTTGGTTTAGGGGTGGGGTTGGGGTAGGGTTAGGGTTGGTTTAAGGTTGGGTTATGGTAGGGTTAGGAGCAGGGTTAGGGTTAGGAGTAGGGTTAGGAATAGGGTTACCCTTCCCCTACCCTCACCCTACTCCAACCACTAACCTTACCCCTATCCCAACCACTAACTCTGCCACAACCCTTAACCCTACCCCTAAACTTAACCCTACCCCTACCTCTACCCCAACCACAAACCCCAACCCTCTCCTCTTTTGCCACTTTTTAGAAATCTGAAGCAATTCAGCACTTTCGGCTATTCGGCACTTCAGCAATTCGGTTCAGCATTCCGAAATTCATAAATTTGGTTCGGATCGGCATTCCGAAATTCAGCACTTCAGACATTCGGAAGCGTCCGAATTTCTGGAATTTGTCAGAATTTGCATTCGGAACGAAACAAATTGCACACGTCTAAATTCCACATAATACAGGGCTTGTTAAAGGGAAATAGTCCCATACTGGGATGTTTAACATTATGTTTACCTTTGTCAATCTTTAAAATGTTTTTGTGAGATCTAAAAAATGTAAATATTTTTTTGCTGTATTTGGTTTTTTTTTTCCTGGAATTTAGTTCCTCCATCTTGGCTCCCTGCCATTCATTGCAGCCATTTCTGCAGTTTTTTAATGAGAAAGAAGACAGATCTGTGCAGCCAACAGAACAGATCCCTTCTTCCTCACTGTAGATCCAGGAGATGACCAAACTGTAGACACTACTAAACCATAATGTTTTGGCACTCATGGTACAGTCCCAACTAGGCTTCAAGGAAGTTCCAGCAATGATCTAGATCAAGGGGTTAAACACTTACCTTTCTCCAGCACCGGGCTCCCTCAGTGCTGGGGACTCTCCTACAGCTGCAGGGTTAACCCTAGATGGACCTGACACCCAGACCACTTCATTGAGCTGAAGTGGTCGGGGGGACCCTATAGTCATCCTTTAAATGGCATTCCCGAAGTGACAAGAATTCTTCATCTATTTTTTGTTTATCCACCATCATCAAAGTGGCCTGGGTTTCTGATCTGTTCCTATGTTCCTAAAATCGGGGGTAAGACTAGAGCTCTGCAGGGACAAACGTTCCCTGTCTCTGAACCTGTGTCAGATCATCAAGGAATACTTTGGTATTGCACTGACCTCAGGGAGACAGTCAGTCAGCAACCACATCATTTCTTGTACAGCCCTCCTCAGTAGTTTCTCTAAGGTAACCAATCTCGTCTTACCATATAGAAGTAATTTATCAAACGAGCCTTGCAAATTGTGCATCTCCATAATATAGCATAGAATTCAGATAGATGTGAGATTTTTAATACTCTCTAAAAAATGCATGAATCCTATTACAGGACTTTTCATTGCAATTCCTAAGTCTCCGTAATATATAGGGGACCCTTGTGTAATATTATTCGTTATCATTCGGTTGTGCTCTACAATACATATAAGGTTGCGCTGGGTTTTTTCAAACCAATGCACCCAGAATGCTACAATTCTTTTTGCTAATTGTCATTATTGATCAACATTGATGATCTCAGTCAATCCAATGTGTTTCCATAGGCTACTACACATGCACGGCAAAAACGTCAAACTGCTCTCTAAAACCATCTGACTAAATTTGCAGTACTCTACTATTTCATGGAGGTGCCCCTAGTGACAGCCCTGCAAGGAAAACATGTAGGGTTAAAACTGAGGGCACATGGCACCCAAATGACCTAATTGGCTCAGAAGCAAACACGCAAAAAATTATTTAATTCTAAAAAGTTTACCTGTTTTCAAAAAGTTTCAATTTCTGATCTGAATGTGAATTTAAGACAGGTAATTGAAATAATCCTTAAAAAATACCTCAACCCCCCATTGCCTGTTGAGGAGCCGGTCCACTCATATTAACAGGGGGTAGAATGATAATTAAGAATTAACTGACATACCAGGTATCTGTTCCAGTCATTGGGATTTCATGTTTTGTTTAAGGCAGATCAGGGCACGGATTGGTTCGTTGATACAAAGCTCTCGCACAGAAAACAATTGGCCATTAGCTAGGCCCCACTGATCTATTTTTTTTCCAAGTAATTCCTTTCATTTGGTGAGATCCCTCACCCCTGCTGATTCTATTCTGAGAGTAAAGCCTAGTCTATCAAACAAACACAAAAAAAAAAAACAACACAGAAAAACAAAAAACAGGGTTAGATAAGACTTAAAAGCAATTCACACTGAAGACAAAAAGAAAGTCCATGAGCTAGACAGACTAAACGCTAGAATCACAAAACGGAATCTTCACTGGCATGCTGATATACAGGGTTTGATTATATAGGACATTCCAGCTGCTGTGGATTGCAACTCATGAGACTCTTAGCCCTCCAAGTGGAATTCACACGTTTCAATGCAAGTCCCAAATGTTACTAATTCTGTACTCATAACTTCAGTTTACAATTGTTGCTGTTAAAGCGTCAATTCAAAAATGTTGAGAATTTTTTATAACACTGCGGGACACATTATTTCAGTAATGGGAAGAGTACAGATTTGTACCATGAGCGGTAACCCCCACGTGTTCGTAGGTTTGTTGGTGCAGACGTGGTGGACTTTACCTACTATTACTTTACTTTTAATTAAAACAATGTAAACAATGAAATGGCAGTAGCGGATTCCTGGTGAGATGAATCATATATCAGATAACAAGATAAAAAAAAAATAAAGACAAAATATAATATTGTAGAACGTAACTTTTAATTAAAACAAAAACTAAAAAAACGTTTTCATAAAATTATCAGAAAAAAAAGTATGAAAAAAGTCACAAAAATACTGCTTTGTGCAACAGCATATTTAGATTGGAGCCGCCTTTCCCAAACAGGCTCATAAAAAACAAAACAGTTGACTTGCACCTTTAGATATCGAGGTTGATGAACCCAAAACATTCAGTCACTAGTTCACATAAAGGTCTGTTCATATTTTTTTTGAAATTTGAAGTTTATTGAGTTTCAACATGTCATAATGTTAGGGGGGGGAGGGTAGGGTACAGAAAAGAAGGGGTTGGGGGGGCGACACACAGTTACATTATAGATACATATTCCATTCCCAGCAAGAATTATACTAATCGAGTTGTCAGGCAAATATTAGTAGTTCAAGGTCATACATGCTGCCAGTCCCCAGTGGGCTGAGGATTATACTACATACACACATCTATTGACTTTGACCGCTCCTAGCATTTTGTCGACCAATCTTTTAGCGTTTCCTGCAATCATCCTGTTGCCCCCTCATGTCTTATCCTGGCTCTGCCAGGTGTCCTTTCCTGCCTCTTTATCCCGCCTTGTGGCTGTTCCTTATATATCTACCAATTGGGCTATGTGTGTACTGTCCCCATGTCAACTAGCTCCCTGTGTGGAGGTTACTATGATGTCTTAGTGGTGTTGTTGTGCCAGGTGGTTTGTAGTCTTTTGTGTCCAGGAGCTCCACAACTCCCATGCTCCCCCCCAGCGCTGCGTTTTTGTGTGTGTAGCAGAGTATTGCGTTTCATAGATTTGTTGTTTATTTACATCTTGTATAATGTGGGAGACGCTCGGGGGTCTGGTAGATTTCCAGGACCTCGCTATTACTCTCTGTGCTGTCAGTAATACATGATAGATTAATTTCTTTATCGTGGCAGGCAAGTCAGGGGGAATGTCCAGTAAGAGAAATGTCGAGGGCTCTAGGGCAATGTCCGTTTTAGTAGTTTGGGTAATAAGTTGTCGTACTTCCTTCCAGTACCTCTCTAGTTTAGGGCATCTCCACCAAATATGTAGTACTGAGCCCAAGTCTCCAGCACATCTCCAGCAGGTTGGGGGCGAGTGGGGATACAGCCTGTGTAGGCGAGTGGGCACCATATACCACCTATAGATTGTTTTTTGGTATTGTTCAAGAAGAGGGGCTGATTTCACCAATTTTCTCACTGATGTTGCTATGTGTTTCCATTTGTGTTCTGTTATGTTAACATTCAGGTCCGTGGACCAGTGCTGTGCCTGGATAGAGCCATGGAACGGCTGGTATGAGTGGATACTTTTGTAGCATTCAGATAGTGGTTTAAATTTGGGTGGGGGTAGCCCTGTAATCCCTATTTTTTCCCAGGTCGAGAGTTCTTCACCTCCGTCGTGTTTTTGTGCTTGTTCTCTATTGTGCTTGCGTAAGAAGGATTGTAGCTGGATGTGTGAGTATTGAGATGTGGGTGGTATGTTGTATAGGCGGCGCAGGTCCAGAAAGGGCAGCAGTTTGCCCTTTTTGTATAGGTGGGCTAGGTGGGTGGCTCCCCTGTCTTTCCATGGCGTTGCATGGAATGTGGGGATACAATACGTAAGTGCCTCAGTAGGGGTTGCTAGAGACAGTGGACACTGCGATTCAAAGTGCGATCTGTGTTGGTCCCAGATATTTAGTGCTAGGCTAAGTTGTGATGGCATGGTCGTTGTAGTTGGTCTAATGGTTTTCCGTAGCCACATTAGGTTAGAGACTCGGAGGGGGGCTATGGCTTGATTTTCCATGTGTACCCATTGGGGTTGGCCCTTTATTGTAAGATGTGCAAGCAGCGATGTCAGTATCGCAGCTTGGTGATATGTTTTGACATGTGGGAACGCCATCCCGCCTTTATACGCGGGGGCCATTAATACTTTTTGGGAGATTCTCGCCCGTCCTGTGCCCCAAGTGAATTGTAACATTTTTGCCTGTATATTCTTGAAATATGAGTTTGGTGCTTTCCATGGGAGGTTCCTGAATACGTATTGGAGTTTTGGCAATATGGACATTTTAAGTGCTATTATGCGCTCCGCCCAGGATAAGAAAATGTGTCCCCAGCCCTTCAGGATTCTGGAGCAGTCTTTCCAGACCCCGTTATAGTTGGAAGGAAACATATCATTTGGGTTTTTGGTGAATGTTAGTCCCAGGTATTTTATGTTCCCAGTTCTCCATTCGAATGGGTATTCTCTCTGCAGTTTTGTCAGGACTTGTGAGTCCAGGCGGAAACCTAATGCTTGTGTTTTTGTGGCATTTAGAGAGTAATAGGACAGCGCCCCGTACTCCTTGATGAGTTTCATTATGTTAGGTAGGGATTTGACAGGATTTGTAATGTACAGCAAGATGTCGTCCGCGAATGCGCTAATTTTTATCGTTCGCCCATGCCAATTTACCCCGTCTATTGCTTGGTGGATTCTGATCGCTGCAAGTAATGGCTCTAAGGCTAGTACGTATAGTAGGGGTGACAAGGGGCACCCCTGTCTCGTGCCATTCGTAATTTTGAACGGCGTGGACAAAAACCCCGCTTGCAGGACTTGGGCTGAGGGATGTGAGTACAAGGCAAATATCTGGGTGATGAATTGGTGTGGGAATCCGAACCTTTCCAGCACCCGGCGGAGGAAGGGCCAGCCCATGCGGTCAAAGGCTTTCTCAGCATCCAAGGCCAGTAGTAGACTCCCTGGACCGGCCCCCCGCATCTTTTCCAACACCAGGGATAGCTTTCTGGTGTTGTCCGTCCCCTGCCTCCCCAGCACGAACCCAGTTTGATCATCGTGTATCAGTGTTGGAAGAATTTTACTCATTCTGGTGGCTAGTATCTTAGCATAGATCTTGGCATCGGAGTTTAGCAGTGATATGGGCCTAAAATGTTTGCATTGATCTGGGGGTTTCCCGGGTTTGGGCAAGGTTACTATTGTGGCTAGGAGCATCTCGGAGGGGAGTTGGCCCGTGTCCGTCGCCGTCTGGAACGTCCGCATCAGCCATGGGCCAAGTATATCTGCAAATGTTTTGTAGTACAGATTGGACAAACCATCAGCCCCCGGAGATTTTCCAGCGGGCAGCTGTTTGATGGTGTCCAGGACTTCGTCTACTGTGATTGGTTCCAGTAGTGCGGAGTGTTGGGTCTGGTCCAGCCTCGGGAGGGGGAGCCCTGTTAAGTAGGAGCGAATCGAAGCGTCCTCTAAGGGGGCCACGCCAGGCTGATCCCCCAGGTTGTAGAGGGCAGCATAATAATTAGCGAACTCTTGTGTTATTTCCATAGGGTTTTGTATCTTTTTACCCGCCGCGGTATGTAGGTGGGCTATTTTGGACGTTGCCAGTCTCGCCTTTAGGCGGTTGGCTAGGTATTTTGTAGCTTTTCCACTATGGTGGTAGGATGTTGCCCTCAACCTTTGTAAAAAATAGGCTGTTTTCGCTGCATTCAGTTCTGTTAATTGACTTGTTAGGGTTTGCACCTGTTTAGCTAGCGCCGGAGATGGGTTCAATTTGTTTTGGGTCGTCGCTACTGCTAGCAGTTTCTGGCATTCTAGTTGGGTTTTTTGTCTATGTTTCTTGAGATGTGAGGAGCGTCTAATGAAGAGGCCTCGCGCCACCGCTTTATGTGCGAGCCACACGGTTTGGTCAGACACGTCTCCCCCAGAGTTTGTCTGGAAATAGTCAGCTAAGTCCGTCCTCACCTGTTGTATGAATGTGTTGTCTCGTAATAATGATTCATTTAACCGCCACGTCCCCCTCCCCTTGAATTGGAAAGAGTCGAAGAGCTCTAGGTACACAGGGCTGTGGTCCGACCAGGTTATGTCACCAATAGTACAAGTCGAAACCTGTGCTAGCGTTTGTTGGTCTACATAAAAGGTATCAATCCGGGTGTAAGTGTTGTGTACTCTCGAGTGGAACGTGTAGTCCCTCTCACCAGCGTGGAGGACCCTCCAGCTATCGTATAAATTGTGTAATGTAAGTTTTGTATTTAACATTTTACATGTTGATACCATTTGTCTTCGCCTTGCGCCCTGAGGGAGTGCTGTTGTGTCCTCCTCAGGAGACGTGATAAAGTTAAAGTCTCCACAGAGGATTAGTCCCCCTAGTTTGTGTTGGTCAATTTTCTGCATGAGGCGATGGAGAAATATCTCTGCACCTGTGTTAGGGAAGTATGCCGAGACCAGGGTGTACTGAGCGTTATTGAAGAGGCCTGTCAAAATGATATATCTACCCTGTGGGTCCACTAGTTTTCCCTGTTCTATAAACGCCACATCTTTGTGGATTAGAATGGACGTCCTCTTGGTTTTATTTATCGAGACCGCGTGATATTGGGTTGGAAAGTGTTTGGTGTACAATTCGGGGATCTTAGTATTTTT